GGCCTTGACCCTTTCCAAGATTATAGGCCATTCAAAAAAAAAAAAAAAAAAAAAGCTTTATTAAGATACAATTCAATAATCATAAACTTCACCCCTTTAAAGGTACAATTCATGGTGTTTAGTTTTGTCATATAGTTGGGCACTATCACCATAATCTAATTTTAGACCGTTTTGATCATCCTAAGGAAAAAACCTGTACCCGTTGGCAGTTATTCCTCCCAGCACCTGACCACCACTAATCTACCTCCTAGCTCTGTGGGTTTGCCTCTTCTGGACATTTCATGTAAATGGAATCATATATGAAGGGTCAGTGGTTTCATAGACTGCTTCCCAATTTAACTCTGGCTGATGTTTTCTTGTGATTTCATTCTGATTATGCATCTTTGGTAGGAATATTGCAGAGCTGATGTGTTCCCAGAGCATTGGTACTGTGGTGGTGGGGGGAGCACGTAATTTTAATTTGTCCCCATACTGATGATGTTCTCTTTTATTTCTTGATTAAGGTGGTATCTGCCAGCCTTTTCCACTATGAAATTGTTTTTCCCTTTGTAATTAGTAAGTGTTTTGTGGGAAGACACTTTGAAACTATGTAGGTATCCTGTTCTTCATTAAACATTCAATTTTTTCGTTGATTTATATCAGCATGGACAGAAAAGTCGTACTTCATTCAATGGCTTTAAAATTTGTTACTATCATCATTGATTTTGATGCTCAAATTGTCCCAGATGTGGGCCATCCCATAGAAGCCAATTCATGTGGGTTTCAATGTCTTTTTGAAGTGTGCCCCTTATTTCTTGAACACTTCCTTGTATTCTGGTACAAAATGTTCTAGGCTGTCTTGTATTCCCAGACCAGAGTCAGCCATTTCTTAAAGAAGCCTTGATTTGTTTGATTGGAGAATGGTATTTAGAAGCCAAAGAAGAGATGGAATTAAGCACTTCCCCAAAGTGAAAAGAAACATTCATTAGTAGCAACAGCTTAAACCTGGGTGCCAAAGGTTGAACAAAGTGACGGGACAGGAAGGAGATAAGGAGATAGTGCTCTGGGGCTAGACAAAGGCATGGAGCCCTTCCTAGTGGCGGGAGGGCAGCATGGTCACTGGAGTTTGCATGGCAAATTCCGGAGTCCTATGTTGCAGACAAAGCACATCAAAAAAAGGAATGGCCAGCACAGCTGCATGGGAGGCCTGGTGAGGCTGGCTCAGGACCAGCTCCCAAGCCACCTGCTGGGGGCCGGGGGAACAAGGACAGGTTCACCCAAGAGCTCAGCATGAGAGGCTGCAACACAGGGAAGCCGCAGAGCGTGACCAAGGCAGACTGAGATGAAGGGTAGGTCATGGTGGCAAGCTCACGATGGTTTACCAGGAAAAAGACATTCTGTTTGGAATTTAAATAGGGAAACCCTGAGCATGCAAAGTAGCTTCCTATAGATGAAACAGCCCTGGAAAATGAAGGATGACCCAAGGGAGATGGAAGGAGGGAGGGGGAGAAGGAAAGAGAGAGAGGAGAGAGAATGCCCAGCCAGTTGCAGTGAACCAGCGCGCCAGGCCCGTGAAGGAAGCCATCTTGGACGTTCCAGCCTCAAGACACCATGACAAGGTGGCAGCAGATATTATCACGTGACCCAGAGACACTCATGACTGGAGAGGCTAAGTGGCTTGCTTGGGGGTCTCTAGATTCTTGGATTCTACTCCAGGTATCCCTACAGTCACCTGTTTCTGCCAAATACCACCTTATGAGAGGAGGTTTGCTATGGTCTGCCCTTTGTCAGAGCGTGTGTGTGTGTGTGTGTGTGTGTGTGTACAGAGAGAGAGAGAGATTTAAGGAATTGGCTCAGCCATTGTAGGGGCTGACAAGTCCAAAATTTGTAGGGCAGGCCAGCAGGCTAGGAAGTCAGGCTGGAGTTGATGCTGCAGTCTTGAGGCAGAATTCCTTCCTCTCCAGGAAACTCTAGTTTTTGCTCTTAAGGCCTCTTCAACTCATTGGATGAGGATGAGCCACATTATCAAGGGTCACCTCCTTTATGTAAGGTCAACTGATTATAGATGTAAACCACATCTACAAAATACCTTCACAGCAACACTTACAGTTGCTTTGATTAACTGGCTACTGCCGTCTGGCCAGGTGGACACTTAGGACCGCATCAGAACTCTTTTGTCCAGGGCTGAAACTAACCCAGGAGTTTTGCCATGCATCAGACATCCAGGGAGTCCTCACTTCCCTCTCCAGCTAGCGACACTGCACTCAGGCCACTTACAACCTGGAGGAGCAGAGGTTTCCTCATGTGTGTGGGAGACAAACAGGGCAGGACAATTCTAGCTTATTTGGGTACAAAGGCTTATTGGCCTACAGGTTCTCTACTTTTTTGAGCCATCATCAATGAAACAGTAGATGTTTAAATAATTCTGAAAAGGCAGATTGCCAAAAAGTGTGGTGGCAGAAGTTCCCAGACTTTAAAAAGTGAGTAAAATATTAAAAAGTAATTAGAGATAGAATGAAAAAGCAAAAACGAAAATCCATTAAACTAACAAAGAGTTCCGTGGACATGAAACAAAGTGCAATACCATAAAAGAATCCAGAGCAGAAGATAACGAAATCTGTAAGAAATTTAAATGATCAAATCTTTGCATGAAAGAATAATCTTAAAATTGATTAAAGAATAATTTCTTTAAATACTAGGAAGCAATCTTTAAGCACCAAGTGTGGTTTCCAAGTAAGAAAAAGACTTTTCCGTTTATAAAATACAGTTTATATACTAACTACTTTGAATAAAGATTTGATTAAAGCACATATGAAACTAGGTAGTTAAAAGTAAAGATGGATTTTTAATAGTCCAGAAAGCTTTTGGAAGGCAGGAGATTAAAACCAAAATGTAACTGCATGTGTGAGAGCAAAATTTGGCTTTGAGCATCCTGGAAACCAGAGCAAAATTTGGCTTTGAGCATCCTGGAAACCAAAGCAAAAGTAGAACCTAAGAAGCTCACCATTCATGCTTTAGAGCATGCGTTTGCAAAAAGGCAGTGTCACCCCCTGAAAACTAGTACTTGGGAAACAAACAAACATTTTTTAATGTAAAAAAGCGTATGTATACATAAAGTAGATAATAGATATGCAGTATATAGTCTAAGTGATACACAGTATGGCTGTACTATTAAAATTTCATCATGAGAGTGATGGAGGGAAAAAATGTCTAAAAAGGCTCCTTGAAAGGTAATTGTGGAAAAAAAAAAAAAACCGGTTAAGAAATAGGGTTTCTGCGTAGAAGGGATGTGTCCCTCCATGTACAGAGGCAAACCTTCCCCTGGAACCACTTTCCAGAAGGAATGCATGTAGCAGGCACTGTGCGTGGAGGCCGGTTTGCCTCTATTACTGTGTTGCAGCCCATCCATTGATTTACAAGCTGAGGACATGCTGCATCTGCATGAAGCGTTTGAGAAGTTTCCTCATTGGTGAATATATTAGCATATTTGTAATTTGTATTAATAAATAGGAAATTTCTCCAACATTTTGGCTGTCTTTACTTTTCTTTCTCTAACTGTTCTGTGTTCTCAACAAAACCTCCCAGCTCTAGAGATCCCTGAGGCATATAAGGTCCTTGGGGGGCTGTGGGGTGGGGATCCCAGTCAGGGTTGTGCAGTGCGAGGGTGAACCCAGTAGATGGGGGAAGAGCAGGAGCCCACACACCATTCCACAAGAAAACCATCATTTATCATAGGGCCAGGCACTATTCTGTGTTTTTATTTTTTTATAAATACAATTATATTTTATAAATTTTATAATTTTTATTTTTTATAAATACAATTATATTTATAAAGATAAAATTTATATTTTTTTATTTTTATAGATGGACACGGAGATGGAGTCTCACTCTTGTCACTCAGGCTGGAGTGCAATGGCACAATCTCAGCTACTGCAACCTCTGCCTTTCAGGTTCAAGCAATTCTCCTGCCTCAGCCTACCGGATTGTAGGCACTTGCCACCATGCTGGGCTAATTTTTGTATTTTTAGTAGAGACGGGGTTTCACCATTTTGGCCAGGCTGGTCTCAAACTCCTGACCTCAGGTGATCCACCCGCCTCAGCCTCCCAAAGTGCTGGGATTACAGGTGTGAGCCACCGTGCCCGGGCTATTCTTTCCGTTTCTGGTGGCCGCTTATACAATGTGGGGCATAGACTGCCCAAAAACAGTCAGTCCCCAGGCTGGGCTCTCCGTGGTCACCTACATGGGTGTGCCCATTTGACAATTTCTAGGGTTGTGGATAATATTCGGTTTCTCACACACTTGACAGAAGATGAATATTTATCTTGGTGCCACAGTTGAAACAGTAAAGATTCGTGAAGAGAAAAATCCCACATTCAAGAGAAAAATCCTACGGTTTCTCGGGGGCGGAACGGATATTTACAAGCATGAATACGCTGGGGACAGTACCTGAGTGGGAGAAGAGCCTCCCAGCTTCCTGGGCTCCACAGCAGCCTCCTCCTAGGTCAGGTTAGACAGGCAGAGGGGCACATCCTTATGGCTTCCACATGTCTGGCAGGAGCAGAGGTGAGAGCCCTGTCCATTGAGAAGAGGACCTTCTGCCTTCCTTGTTTCTTGCCACCCCAGATCCAGCCAGGTAGGCCCTGGAGAAAGCTCTCCATGTCCAGGCCTCTACAGCTAAATCACACACCCACTAACCAAAGCCCTCTCTTAAATTAGCAGCTGAAAAGAGGCCCACGTGATCTGCAGCCCGAGAGCCCTGTGGGTTTGGTGATGGGAAAGCACTCAGCTGGGGCTCGGCTCAGCTCCTGTCTATCAGGACATACAGCCATGCACGGGACATGGGCACTTCCCATCCGGGCTCCAGATCAGACACAATTAACAGAGAGGATTAAAAACAACGTTTGAGGAAGAGGTGCATATACTAATGTGTGTCACCAAGCACTTTAACAAAGCAGAATAGAAACAGCAGCGTCTGTATTTTACAATCAAGGATACAAACATAATATGTCAGACACCATGAGTGTTTTAAAATAACATTTTATTTTTCATTGTCAATGATTAACTTTTGAGTCTATTAGAAGAGTATCATGATTATAGTGAATAAAAAAATATAGATGAGAGAATACAAATACTAGGTTATACAAAGTTAGTTTTTTAAAAATCATTGTCCACCAAAATTTTCAGGACTTTGGAGTTCTGAAAAAAAAATTTAATTTTTGTGTGTGTGTGTGTGTGTGTGTGTGTTTAACACTTGCGGCAGTTAAAAATTAAGAACACATATGGAGAATCATTTGTGGACGCCTATTACAATAAACAGAAGGACCACAAAAATTAAAACAAGTTCTAAGAACCGTCATATATACAAATTTCTGTACAGAATGAGGACTAAAACAGTTCCCCCAATTAAAACCAGCTCTTGTGGTGCACACATTCTTTTTCAGAAAAGAACGAAAATTTATCTTCCTCTATGCACTTGTTTTTCCATTTGATTCAGTATTTTTAATGCTGTTTCCACCCCATAAATTAGTAACTGTTCAGTAGCTGAGAAAGATCCTATTTTAAATTATGCCAGGGGAAATCAGGAGCTTCCCTGGAGGGGCTGAACTTCATTGTCTGATGCAGGCGGGAGACACACCTCAACCAACGAAGTCACACCACCAGCCGGAACAAGGAGGGGCTGGATAAAACATCCCATGGCAGTGAGGAGGATTCCTATACATCGTCACTACACCGGTTCCCAAGAGTGAAGGCCTAGCCTCTCCTACTTGGCTGAGCTCAGGGCGGCTGAGCTCAGGGCAACTGAGCTCTTTGCAAATGCAAGTCATTTGGCACAAAAAGAGAGAATGTTTGGGCAAGACTCAGATTCTCTCAGAGGCCCCCAACTCTGATAACCACAATGGCACATCCCGGGCCCATACCCACCTCCCTGACCCACCCTGCTCCATGACACCATAGGCCACTCACTCCATGGGGAGAACTGAACTCCTCTGACGGAAAAGCAATTGCACGAAATGTTAACATCGCAGGCCCAATGAGGTAAACAGCAGACTCAGGGGACACGGAAGGAGAGGACATGGAGACGGGGGAGGGGCAGCACACTCTTTCCAGACAGCCTTGCGACGTCACTGCACGATCCCGGAGTCCACCGATGTCTGCTTGCGAGTTGTCTTTGGAGGGGGAGGAGGCGGAGTTTTGCTGGGCAGTGGAGGTGGCAGATGCTAGAAAACATGAGGATGGGGAAGACGTTACATTACTGATGTCCTGACGGAAAAGAAGCCGTCTCCAGGTGGGGTCTGACCTGGCACAGCCACTCAGCCGGAACCATCCTCTCCACGTGAGTTGGGCTCCATACTGTCTGACTCGGGGCTGCCAGGTCTGCTAGGCTCGACTGGGCTGCTATGGGCCTGGGCCTTTCTGACGCCTCTGAGCACTCTCCTACCGTCTGCTCGGTCCCTGAGAGGTACCATTGCCCTTTGCGTGGCCTTTTTAAATTTAGATGCTATCGACCAAGTTATCCATCTACTGTCTCAGGGATAAACAAGTCCTTAGAGGCACTCTCCAGGGGTGAGATGAGAGAACTTCTTTTGCTTTCTGAGCTTCGGGCAAAGGTTAGCAAGCTTTTCCTGGAAAGGGCTAGATAGTAAATATTTCCAGCTTTTCGGCAGGCCACACGGTCTCTGTTGCAGCCACTGAACACCGCTGGTGTGGCCGAAAAGCGGGCATTGACGGTGTGTACAGAAAGGGGTGTGGCTGTGTTCCAAGAAAACTATTCACAGAAACAGGTGGCTGGTTGGCTGGCTTCAGCTCATGGGCATAGGTCACTTGAGATTCACAAAAAAGAACATTAATTTCCAATGTGAAGATAATAGCAAACCCCCTGCTGATGGGCCTGGCTGGAGTGTTACGACTGAGGGCAGCTGCACCCTATTGCTTTTAGGACCGTCATGCCCATCACACACACCTGATGTTCAGGAGACGCTCTGGAAATATGGGTCGATCAAATAGGAAAATGGATGAATGAGTGAATACATGAATGAGCGAATACATGAGTCAGTGGATAAATGAAGAAATGAACAGGTGAGTAAACAAAGAAATGAATGAAGAAGTGAACAGACCAGGGTAGGTGGGAGCATGCCACAGGCAGAGGAACCAGACTGAACACACAGAACACTATCATCTAACTTAAGGGTAAGGGTGGATTTTTAACAGCCTCTCAGTGTGGGTTTGCATTTAGCTGAATGTGAGAAAAGAGGTTTTCAAGGATAGACAGTGACGTAGTCGAGTCTCTCACTCATCGCCCAGATTTCCTCCTGATTCACAGACAAGTAAATACAAAAATGACTGAGTGCTTAACACAGAGAGCAGAATACATGTGGGAAAGTAAAACTGTTAAAGACATCCTATGAGTATATGACCTTATATTAAGGAAGGTAAAACAACAATGAAGTCTTTTTAAGGCTGGTTAGAACCGTTAAAAGAGACATCTCTTTTGAGGTCTGATGAAACTGCTTGTTTACATGTGAAAGCCATACTGATAGGCCAATGAGGAGCAGGTAAGGACCAGACTAACACAGCCTGATACCAACACAGCACTGCAGATGACCTCTGTGCCAAATATGGGCATGTCAAAAGCTTACCACCAACAAGCAAAATGATAGCTCAGATTACTGACGGGAAGAGCTGTTTGGAAAGAAATGACAGCTTAGTGGCAACAACTAGAGAGAGAGTTGCCCACAAGCCTGAGGCTGATCAATGAGAGTGACAGGAGGATATTGATCACACCCCCATCATGGCAGACGGATGATCATTATCCCAGAACAGCTTTCAGGGCCTGTGCAAAGGGAGGCACCCCAGGAAATGCAGCCGCTTCTGCCTAATGATGACATACTAACCAGCAGCATGTCACCTGAGCATGCGCTCAGGCTGCAAGTAAATTAACAAGAAACAAAGACGGAAGACACTTGGGTCATCAATCTAATTGAATTCACACCCCCTTTATAAATTGAGACAGAGCTAATCCATGTTATCCCTTACTTAATCAACCATATGTGGCAGCGGTAACCCACAATGGTGTATCCAAGAAATTGAGACAATAAAATGTTACCCCAGAGTTGATGTGTAACAAGACGAGGAAGTGGCTGTAATTCTGAAGTTTAGAATTTTCAGTTTACTAGTGTAGGGAGACTAGGGGGAACATTCTTGCCTTTCCAGTAAAATAAAGAGACGAAAACGTGACCAATTAACGTAGCTGTTAGGGAAACAATACTCCAAGCAACCCAGTATTCTTGCTAGACCCCCCGAACCTCGTTTTGCTCTCACAGTAGTTAGAAATGCCCGGGAAAGGTCAGGCTTCCATTTCTGCGGTGCAACAAGCCATCCCAGCCTGCCAGAAAGTGCTCTTCACAGGGGAACCTGGTGCCTCCTCCAGGACCGGTTCCTCATCAAGGCGTCTCTAGGGAGAGGGAGCCTGTTTAAATGGCACTTGGGTCTCGGAAGCGCAATCTGCCTCTTTGATATTAAAGATGACTGCTTGTTAGTTTTCTGATCCAAAGGGAATGATGAAATACGTATGATGTACACAAACACCCTCTCTCTTCCACTCCTCTCATAAGGGATGTAATGATCTTGTGGAACACGCCGGGAACAAGTCTCCACAAAAAAAAGGAAAAGAAACAGCATGTGGGATTTATAGTGTTTATTAAAGAAAAAAAAAAACAAACCCATGTCTCACCATGATGAAAAAAACAGAGCCACCCAACAGTCTCCTGTTTTCAACGTTCTACAGGAGTTTTGCAGCCATATAATTACTGAGGCTGGATAGCAAAAAAATATGGCCAGCTGTCCAGATATGAAGAGGGATATTTTACTCTTCAGACCACACTGATTTAATTGTCAAAGGCTGTGAATAACATGGCCCGGGGAGGGCTGAGCCTGGAAGCAGAAGTTCCCGCCGCAGCTGAGTCAGTCACTGGCCCGCCTCCATCCCACTCATGCTGCCCTCCGCACACGCCTGGGCCCGACACGAGAGGATGGGGCTGGGACCCGCAGGGCTGAGTGATGCCCGACAGCATCCTTGAGAACCAGGAGAGGAACGGGGTAGATCTGAAAAGAATGTTTCTAGAACCGTCAACTGGTAACTGAGATGCTTGTTTCAATGGCTTTTTATGACTCCGACTAACATTGCACGGGCAGGCAGGCCCAGGGGCTGTTCGGCACCAGGCACGTCGGGTGGGAAGAATGACTAAAACGGTTGCTGGGAGGTACCAGCTTCAGGGACTCACACCAAAGAAGGGTTCCAGCGGGTTGCTTAGGCTTACAAAGGCCAGTGCTGCCAGAGGAAGCCAGGCTAGCACCCCCGAACTAGCACTGGGGAGGGCGCTCAGGGGTGGGGGCACAGTGAGGGTGACTGTGCCCAGGAGCCAAACCTGGCTGTCCTCTGCAGTCTCTGTAAGGTGAGTGCCTGTCAACACCCAGGAGCTCCCGGCACCAGGTGAGGCTGCCTGGAGGAACGTTTGGAGATGAGAATGTTTGGAGATGAGCTTCTCCAGGGCCAAGCAGGTGTACAACAGGTGCCTGCCATACAGGGCGATACTGGCCAACCTCTTTAAAAAGTCAGACCTCTTGATAGAAAAGCTACTTCTCAAAAATCAAAATTTCATTAGAATTGCATTTCCAGTGGACTGATCTCCGTGGTGATAACCGATGACAATCTTGGAATGTCTATCCTCTTCTTCTTTCTGAGGCATGATATCAAAATGTGCTTTTTGATGCAGTTATTGGTAATGACACAGAGCCACAGATCTTACTCACCAGAGTCCTTACTGCTTTGATACCTTTTGCAAAATCAAACCCGGCCCATCATACATGGTTTTCCTCACGTGCTCACTAGCCCAAAGTAAACCTGCTAATATCTGGAATGAGGGACTCGTCCTACTTTGTGGAGGGGAAGTAAGGAAAGCCCACGTTTCAGATTGCCGACTTACCCTCTGGTGTGGAGGTGGAGGTGGAGGTGTTGGCGAACCCAGCAAGTCCTGGTTTTCCATCAAATTCCCGTAATCTGCCACGCTGCCTTTGAGAGGCAGAGGGGGCGGGACGTCGGCCACGTCCGCCCCCGTCATGCCATTCAGCTCCAAGCCTGGAAAACCGGGATTTATTTAAAATCGGCCCGACTTCCCCATGGAGCCTGACTGCTCAGGGAGCTGCTCCCTGTTCCCTCCCAGACAGGCAGGCACGCTTGTCAACAGAGCAGATGAGGGCAGGGAGGGGGCGAACACAAAGGGTGGGACCCTCTCCCAGTGGCAATGTTCTAGAAAGAGAATAGCAAGTATCACATGACAACTAAAACCGGAGCATGAAGCAAGGCATAGAGCCACTGTAGAAAGGGTGACGTTCACCCCTGCCTCTTCTGTCCTGCCTCGGGCCCCCTGCCTCGGTGGAAGTTAAACAGCTGGGTGCCACAGGACTGTCTCCGCTGCTGCTGCTACTGCTTTCAAAGCCCAGCCAGGCCTCTACAGTCACCCCTGCAGTTATCACCTGGAGAGATTTGCTAAGCAAAGTCTAACACGGTGACCAGCCACCCAGCGTCCAATCTCTTTCCACAGAAAAATCCACAGTCGTATGAAATGAAGTTATTAGCCGTAGCAGTCACTGTGGCTGTTGCTTTAAATAAGCCAAGGGGAAGTACAATTGATTTTTAAAGTAAACTGGAAAAAATAGTCGTTTTCAAACGGAGGAATAATCATTAAGACAGGATATTTTCTCAACCCTTGTTGAGACTCTTAAAAATAATTTGTTTTCTTTTATATTAAAGAGAGAAAAATTGACATTTTTACTGATGAGTCTCTTTTGGAGTTTTCCACTAGGATCCATCTCATGAAAAATCCTTTTTTAGGAAGATGCATCCTAGGAAGGGCACAGTGTCAGCTTAGAGGGCAGCTCTGCCATGGGGCTGAGGGAAATAAGGCTTCGGTGGGTGACTGTCTTCATGATTGCTGCCTATTTGTTTGCTATTATTGTGGTAAGATATATAGGATATAAAATTTGCCATTTTAGCCATCTTTTAGGGGACAATTTGGTGGCATTAATCACATCGGCCATGGTGGACAACCATCACCATGATGTATTTCTGAAACATTTCCATCACCCCAAATGGAATTCTGTAATCATTAAACAGTAACTTCCCTCCAGCTCCTAGTATCCTCTACTCTACTCTCTTTTTTTTTTTTTTCTTTTTTTTGAGATAGAGTCTCACTGTGTTGCCCAGGCTGGAGTGCAGTGGTACGATCTCAGATCACTGCAACCTCCACCTCCCAGGTTCAAGTGATTCTCCTGCTGCAGCCTCCTGATTAGCTGGGATTATAGGTACACACCAACACACCCAGCTAATTTTTGTATTTTCAGTAGAGACGGGGTTTTACCATGTTGACTGGCTGGTCTGGAACTCCTGACCTTAGCTGATCCACCCGCCTTGGACTCCCAAAGTGCTGCGATTACAGGCCTGAGCCACGCCTTTCTGTCTCTATGAACTTGCCTTAGATCTTTCATTTAGGTGGAGTCATACAATATTTGTCCCTTTGCGACTGATCTATTTCACTTGGCATCATGGTTCTGAGGTTCGTCCGTGCTGCAGCACGTGTCAGACTTTCACTCCTTTCTACGGCTGGGTAATATTCTATTGCACGGACATTTCTTTGGATGTACATTTTGTTAATCTGGCCATCAGCTGATGGACCTTTGGCCTGTGTTTGCTTATTGGCTCTTGTGAAAAATACTGCTACGAATATTAAGTATCTGTTTGAGTCCCTGCCTTCAATTCTCTGGAGTACAGGCCTAGGAGCAGGACTGCCGGTTCATATTCCATGTTTATTCTACATTGAACTTTGGAGGAACCACTGAATTGTTTTCTGCAGCAGCAGTGATGGTGCCTGTTTTCAATATTAAAATAGATTTTAAACACATTTTTAGAAAGATCATGTAGTAATAGCGCAAGGATGTGAAGATGCACCCTCCAAAGACATATCCAGTGCCCAGAAAGCTCTCTGCCTACTCAATTAAACTCACGCATCCACTCCTGGAGCCAGCCTCCCCACCCACTGACAGTCTCCAAAATCATGACTGCTCCCCTTTCAGCAAGAGGAAAATCAGGAGCAGAGGACACTCACTCACTGCCTTGCACAACCCTTGCCACAGGGCATGGAGCTCTCCCGCCTGGGACCCCTCTCTGTGCCACAGGAAGGAAGGAGAGTGGGCTCCCCAGTTCTGCTGCCATCCTCACCCCCAGCACCTTCTCCCTGCCAAGATTTCTCCTCTCTGCTGGCTCTGAATCCAGTGGTGAAAAGCTGTCTACCACTTAGAGTAAGTTGAGTAGAGTCTTTCCAAAATGCAGACCTCTTAGGGCCACCCAGAACCTCAGAATGTGTCTTATTTGGATTTAGGGTCTTTGCAGATGTAATCAGCGAAGGATCTCAAGGTGAGATCATCCTGGATTTGCAGTGGACCCTGTATCCAATGACTGCTGTCCTTCTAAGAGGAGAGGACACAGAGAAGGAGGCCACGTGAAGACAGGGGCAGAGAGGGGAGTGATGTGGCCACAGCCAAGGAGGGCTAGGGACTGCTGGGAGCCACCAGAAGCTGGAGGGAAGCCTGGGACAGGCTCTCCCTTGGAGCCACCAGAGGGAACCAACTTGCTACCTCCTTGATTTCAGAGTTCTGGCCTCCAAAACCTTCAGAGAACAGATTTCTGCTGTTTGGAGCCACTAGTTTTGTGGCAACTTCTAGGGTAATTTAAACATTGGTCAAAACTAGAAAAATAAGCTGTGCCCCTTAGCTGTTGCCAACTGCCTGGAGGTGCTTCTCCAGTGCACAGTCCTAGACACAAGCAGGCCCACGGCCTCCTGCAGCTCTGTGTCCTGGGATAGGAAGTGGGGCAGTTCCACGTGCCTCACAGGTCCCCTCCACATGGACCTTGGGACAAACCCCGCACTTTCTGCCCCTCCAGCGCTGGAGACCTGGGCTCTGAGTTTTGGCCTGATTTTCGAAAGTCCAGACTCTACAGCCTGCTCCAAGGGACATTCCCAGGAAGCCAGGTGTTTATCTGAACTCCCACCCTCTGCTGCAAAGGGAGGCAGGAAGCGCTTCTAACCTCAGAGCCTTCAGCCAGGGGAAGTCACAGAGCTATAGCACGATACGTATGTGCGGACTCTTCTACTTACTTGACTGCATGCTGAAGCTGAGCTTGGCCCTTGGTGTAACCGGAGGAGGTGTTTGCTGGCAGGACGGTGACGAGGGGGACACTGAGAAGCGCCTTTCGCTTCCAATGACGTTGATCACCTGGCTCTTGGGTCTCTGGGGCCGCAGCGGACTTATCTACATTGAAAGGAGAGAAAGAGCACAGTTAGGGTCTGTTATGGGCCAAGCTGCATTTTCACCTAAATTCCTACTTTGAAGTCCTGACCCCCATTACCTTAGAATATGACCTTAACTGGAAATAGGGTCTTTGCAAATGATCAAGCTGAGGTGTGGCCTGTTAGTGGGCAGATTGTAAGACATGAACAGGAAAGGTGGACGGGGAGGAAACTCTGGAAAATCTCATGCCCCAGAGACCCCCACAAAACACACATGCTAGGTGTGAGCGGAGGGGAGGGGAATACCTAGGCAGGAGGGAGCGCCCTGAAACACCCCATAAGACACCCAGTAATTGCTCCCTCTGCAGCTAACCTGTTACAATGTAGCTGGCTACATGCTGATTAGGAGGGAAACAGGGCAAGGGGTTAATTCCTAAGAGAGACACTCGCACAGTAAGTACAGATTTGACCGCAATAGACCTTCTTGGGGTGGTGGTAATGAGCAATGCTGCCATTAGGTAGGATTCCTATTGATCACTGAGCCCGAGTGTGCACATCAACTAGCAGCAAGGGAAAGTCCCACAAACCTGGGTGGGAACTAGGCAGGGAAAAGGTGGAGACTTAAGACAGCTGGGAAAATACACAAAGACAAAGGGAGAGGCTTAAGACAGAGGTGGGAGCTTAAGTCAGTCCAGTATAAAAACCACAACACAGAACTCCCAGGGGCTGCTCTCCACAGGGTCAGCCTGCTCCTCTCCTGGAGTCTACGCTACTTTTATTTCCTTAATAAGCCTACTTTACCTACTTTACTAATTTCCCTACTTTACTAATTGGTCTCTTGGCTGAATTCTTTCCTCTAAGACTAAGAATCAAGGACCTGCACACTTCCCAGTAACAGGTCCTAATCCAATAGGACACGTGACCTTATGAAAAAGGGAAGTTTGGACACGGACACGTGTTCCAGGGCAGAATTATTCCCAGGTGTGCTCAGCATGCTTTGGTCTCTTTGGTGTGTACCTGAAAGTCAGGAACTGGCTGAAGGATTTTTGCTATTCCTTTCCTTTGCTGCTTCTCACATCCTAGGTCATTACCGGGCAGGGATTCTTTTTCTCTCCTTTTCAATGCATTTTTTCCTGCTCATCTCTGGCTTTCAGAGGCACTTGACTTTCCCCCACCGAAGCCCTTTCCCTGTTTGGTCCATCAGTAAGTTGTATGTATATATTTCTTACAGGTTGCTCATCAGGCTTTGGGGAACAGGAGCAGTGACAGAATACTCTGAGGCAGGAGTAATTGGAAAACTTATTAACCCAGCCAAAAAGGAGGGGTCAAGGTTCTCCCCCAAGGAAGGGCAGGCAGGTGAGTGGGCAGCTCCGGCTTGGTGCTAGGTCTGGGGGCCTGGCAGATGGGCTGTGCTGGTTTGGGTGAGCAACTGAGCAGGTAGGCTTCAATGTCTTCCCCAGGAGGAGTCAGCCGAGCCAGGGCCAGTCTGGGGGTTACTGAGGCTGGAAGGAGGAAATGGGAACCAGGCTTGGGAGGAAGATTCACACCCTCTGGCAAATGAGTGACAGAGCCAGGCCAACAGGTCTATTTCCAGAACTATACTGTGCTGTCGGGGGAGCCAAGTGCCCAGGAGCTGCACCTCCTCTGAAGAAATGGCCTTGTTCCAGGCAGCAGAACTGCCGTGGGAAGTCGGGAAAGGCTGGGTGAAGTGCTGGGCCCTCTGAAGGCGAATGTGCTGGCAAGAGAGATTTGGGATCTGCTCAGGTGCTTCTCCTGGCTTCCCTGCATCCCAGGGCGGGCACATTCTGATTCAGAGAGCGTGAGGAGGCTGGCCTGCTGCGATGCAAATTGCAGCCTGGAGGCTCTGGCTGGAGAGGCTCAGCTAAAGGTCAGGAAATTGTTGATGATGCAAATCAAGTAGGAAACCAAACCCAGCCCCAGGGGTAAGGAGGGAAAACCTTGGCAGAAGCTGGGGTGCAGGGGAGGCCAGCATGGGGGAAGGGCAAGGAGGACACTACAGTAGGGTAAGTGGGGGTGGGGGGTGGGGAGGGTGGCTGGTGTTGTCCCCAGGGAATGGGTCCCTGCTTCTGCTCCTGTGAACCTCCTCCCCACCTCCCCTGCCGCATGGCTGGTCACAGGCACGCAGTCGCCTGCTGGGAAACTTCAGGTGTCTGACTGTCCTCACAGACCTTGCCGGCACCCGTCCCCTGGAGGAGGTGACCTCTGTGTAGACGGACAGGTCACTGGGCTGGACCAAGAATAGGAAGCCTGTCCCCAGTGGGAGGTTCGGATGCCCCGCCTCCTGGTGCTGGAAGGCTCAAGCTGACACTGGGCCAGATGCTGAGAAGCCCCACCAATGTTCTGTGCTCTGACCTTGCTGAGTTCCTGCGGATTTGCTGAGGGTGCTACGGCCAACCGTGGGGAAGCAGCCCTTGTGGTGCTGCCCCTAGCCCTGCTGTTTGCAAGGATCCTAGAACGATGCTTGGGCCACCACAGGCAGGGACAGAAATGCACTGTGCTGGCTCTGTGCCTGTCATGTGTGTGCTTGTGTCTTTGGACTTTTCACACAAGTCAGCTGTGATCAATCCTGCCACTTGGCACAACTTCTCTGAGGCCTCCAATTTAGCATCTTAAAACGGAGCTTAAATTAAAATGTATGAAAGACTTGCATAGTGTCTGGCACTAAGTAATATTCAAAAATGCTTCTGTTCATTCCCCTACCCAGCTACGATGTTTTGAGACTTGAGAAATCTACCTTGGGCTTGAGAGAAGGAGACTTCAGCCAACCTCTGGGGTGGTGGGCATCCCAACTTCCGAGAATAGCAGACAGAGCACGCTGTGTGGTCAGGACCCCCTCAATCTGCTGGAGGCTGAGCGTCTGGGTGCTTTGGGCCAGCCTCCAGCCAGTGCCCCCCGAGGCCTGACATCCTCGGCCACCCTCACGGGAATTCTCCAGCCCCACTGCAGCCACAGGCCGCAGAGCAGCGCTGGCCTGCTGGACATCAAGTCATGGCTGGGGGGTTTGCCTTCCACCTCTAGATAGCCAGGTAGCATGTGACTGCTTTCTGAGTGGTATGAAGTATAGATAAAACCAACTTTCTGGGTTTTAAGTTATAAACAAGCAGTGCAGTACGTCTAACCCTCTAATCATAGCCCGCTGACTGCCCAGGACTGAGACAAGCAAACACCCATCTATTTCCAGGGAGGGCAGCTCCAATCCTGACTTAGTCTTTGAAACTGACAGCCCACGAGAACCCCTTCTTTATTTTTGTTTCCAACTACAGCTAGCACTTTCAGAATCAAGTTCGCTCTGGAAATGGGCTGTGCCTCATCTTTGCACTCACACTCTGATACAGCTTGTCTCCTCCAAATCTCATGTTGAAATGTTGGGGGTGTGGCCAGTGGGAGGTGTCTGGCTCATGGGAGCTGACCTCTCATGAAGGGCTTGGTGCTGTCCTTGCAGTAATAGGGGTAATGAGTGGGTTCTCATTCTATCAGTTCATGTGAGACCTAGTTATTTAAAAAAGCCTGGAACACGACCCCCTGCCCATACTCTCTTTCTCACCATGTGACATGTCTGCTCCCCTCCCCTGCCTTCAGCCAAGAATAAAAGCCTCCTGAGGCCTCACCAGAAGCCAAGCAGATGCTAGTGCCATGCTCATACAGTCTGCAGAACCATGAGCCAGATCAACCTCTTTTCTTCATAAATGACGCAGGCTCAGTTATTCCTTTACAGTAACACAAAACAGACGAACACAGACTCCCAATGTGGTGTACTTCTGGGAGGATCAGCTCTCAGGCCCAGCCCCAGGATGAGAGCCGGCTCCTCGGTTTCACCACCTCACACGCTCACAACTGTGGAACGAACGGGACTCACTAGAACCTGTTTTTAAGGTCGGTTCAGCAACATGGGCCACGTGAGGTCCCTGTAAGTCCTTGTGAAAGACGGCCAGGAGACCGAAAGGTGGAGCAGATGAGACAGAGCAGGTACCCCAGGAGCAGGTGCAGCTGCTGGGGCCCGGTGGGAAGAGGTCTTTGGATTCCAGTTCCGCTGATTTTCACACCTGGGCTATAACTAGCTTAGAGTTCCAGTCAACAAGGGGCGAGGAGAAGGCATTATCTGACACGCAGGACTGTTTCCTGACAACAAAAGGACTCCTGCTCATCTTCTGGGATGTTAGGACATGGGTAGGAAACAAGTCCAACAGAGCCAGCGCGGCAGAGCCTAGCAGCAGAGCGGCCCTGCCCCAGGCCCTGCGGAAGCTGGAGGAATGCCAAGCCCAGCTCTGCGCTCGGCTGTCCTACTGCCTTGGGACATTCGAGGTTAGGGGAGGAGGACCCCAGGTTTTTGAGTTGCTAATTTACAACAAGTGCAGTCAGAGCCCACTGTCAGCCCTGTTGGCTACAGGTGGGGCAAAGGTAGGTCCCTGAAGCTACCACAGAGCGAGGGAAGATACCCTGTCAGGTTACCGTTTCCGAAAGGATCACAGCCTCCGACTGCTGCAGGGAAATGTCGGTGGGTTTAAATTCTTTCTCAAATATCTCTTGATGTTTGCTGTTCCTTTTTTCCTTCTTCTTGTCCTTCTTCTCCTTCTCCAGGTCATCCTTGTCCAGCTTGTCCTGGGACCTGGAGTGCATTTTCTTTGGCAGGAGAGGCTCCAGAGCAAACCTAAAGGAAAGGTCAATGATGTCTTAATAGGAGAGCAATTGCTTTCCACCCCACAGACACGTGTAAAGTCACTCACAATCCATCGAAGACATTTACAAGGAAAGCAATGATTTAAAAGGGAGGCCAAGGGCGACTTCAGATACACAGTCACCAGATGCAAGGACTGTGTTTCAATCCCAACACGGACAACTGTGAAAAAGATAGAACACTTAGCACGATAGGGCAAATGTGAAGTCTGACCGGATATTTGATGATGACATTAAGGAATTGTTCATTTACGATGGGAGGATGGTATTTAGGGTATATTTCAAAAGGGGAACCCTTGTCTTTCAGAGATTTATATAGAAATATTCTGTGTATTTTTTAATGGGGAAAAATGGACATCAATGCAAAGAAACATCTGCTACCTTAATCCTGACCAAGGCTCTATGATTACAGATAGACGGTTGTTTCCAGGTGAAAGCACTTTGCATGGCTTGGTCAGAAGCAAGCCAGGGCCAGCTCACAGGTGCTTGGAGATGCCCTGAGGTTTCCAGCTGGCAACTGAGCTGGAGACAGAAGACCTGCATTCTAGCTCTGCCACTTGTGGGTGACTCTTGATGTCCTCACAACCTCTGGCAGCTGTTTCACTTATAAAAGGGTATGAAGACACCACCACCCTTCTGCCTACCCCACAGTTGCTGTAAAAACACATTCGTGGTTACGCCATGGAGTAAATGAATCTTAGGCTAGTTTCTAAGGCATGTACCAAAAGGTTAGTGTGCATGCACATCCACACACGATTGTGATTTGTCACTCCAACACAAGATTGGCATGTCCATCCTGTTTCTGGTCCTAGAAGTCTTATCAGGAGGTGGAAGAAATTGATCCAATTCTAAGACTGGAGTCTCATCCCTAGAAGCTCCTGCTGTGAAGAGGAGTCAGGAGAGGCGGTTGAATGGATGAAGGCATGGGCCGGCCTGAAAAACCATATAGCATAACTCACATGGAAGGCAGGGCTGTTACTAGGATCTTACATTTTCAAAATATAACCTGCTCTTTGGAGCTCTGAGTCCTCACAGCAACTTCCAAACCTGACTTCCTTGACTGCCTGGAGAAGAAATTGGCTTTTTCAAGGGGAGCATGATTTCAAGAGAAGAAAATTTAGCCAGCCAGTCATATTTTCATCCTAGCTCTAGTTTCTCGTACATGTATTTCTGAATGGGACACTTGGAAGAAAGCCACTGTTCTCATTAAGAAGGCCACTGTAGGGCCGGGTGCGGTGGCTCATGCCTGTAATCCCAGCACTTGGGGAGGCTGAGGCGGGCGGATCATTTGAGCTCAGGAGTTCGAGACCAGCCTGACCAACATGACGAGATCCTGTCTCTACAAAATATACAAAAGTTAGCCAGCCATGGGGGTGTGCACCTATAGCCCCACCTACTCAGGAGGCTGAGGTGGTAGGATGGCTTGAGCTTGGGAGGCAGAAATTGCAGTGAACTGAGATTGTGCCATTGCAGAGCCTGAGTGACAGAGTCAGATCCTGTCTCAAAAAAAAAAAAAAAAAAAAGACAGCCATTGCAACAATCTTGCTCCCCACTGATGTGCTCACTGGACGGCCATTGCAACAACCTTGCTCCCCACTGATGTGCTCACTGGACGGCCATTGCAACAATCTTGCTCCCCACTGATGTGCTCACTGTTGATTTCCAGGTTGTGTGTCCCATAGTGGGGAGTCAACTGAACCAGGAAGGGAAGGATCATTCGCAAAACTGCGCTTAAATCCGCTGAAGATGCAGACTGCCCAGAGCAAGAAGCACCACCTACTCTTTGCTTCTCCCATCTAATGTGGCTGTGCAGTAGGATGTGCTGCAGGAACATACACTATGTAAACAGTAATGGTATTAAATCTAAGCACTTCATCAATAGCTGTTAACGTCTCCATAAGACAGATAACAGGATATGATGTGCCTCTGAATGGAAGAACATACAAGTACCTATGAAGTCATCCCTAAATCAAATCTGAATCTGATCAAATCACTAGATTCAACTACCAATATGCAGGGAATATGGAGAATCGAGACACGAATTAAACAATGCGATAGGGCATGCTATCAGCAAAGTCCCGATGGTGGGGACCATGACAGGATATGCAACCTAGGATTTCCCACAAATAAATTACAAGGGAGAAAAGGGGACTGAAAGAGACCTAAAGAGATAATATCCACCAAGTGCGAGGTGCAAGGTGGGGACCTTATTTGGATTTTGCTTTAAACAAACTAAAAACAAGACATGACAATGGAAAATTAACACTAATATATTATTATAATAATATGGAATTCCTGTCAATATTTTTGGTGTGAAATAAACTATATTACTATAGTTTATATAATATAACCTAGTTATGGTTTTAAAAAAGAGTTCATACCTTTTAGAAATTCATACTGAAATAGCTATAGATAAAATGGTATGATATTTGAGATCTGCTGGAAAATATGATTGATACAGACTGAAAAAAAAAGATTAGTTAAAACCTGATAATTGTCAAGACTGGCTCTGGGGCATGGGGGCCTCATTACACTATTCAGCCCACTTTGTATATATCGGAAATTTTTCTTTTTTTCTGAGACAGTCTCACTCTGTTGCCCAGGCTGAAATGCAGGGGTGCAATCACGGCTCACTACAGCCTCAACCTCCCCAGGCTCAGGTGATCCTCCCACCTCAGCCTCCCAAGTAGCTGAGACTACAGGCATGCACCACCACACCCAGCTAATTTTTGTATTTTTTGTAGAGATGGGGTTTTGTTACATTGCCCAGGGTAGTCTTCAACTCCAGAGCTCAAGCAATCCACCTGCCTCAGCCTCCCAAAGTGCTGGGATTTTAGGCATGAGCCACTGGACTCAGCTTTGAAATTTTTCTATAATAAAATGCTTAAAAAATAAAAAATGACTGATAAAATATACCAGTATTGACTTAGATCATTAAGGCATTTTGGGACATCTGGACTTTTCGCACTGGATCTATGATACATCCATAACCATTAGGTGTGAAATATTGTATCTATTATAAGCAACAACCAAACATTTCATGATTTTATTCTAGGTTTAGCAGAACTTGAGATAATGTAGGTAAGAAAAGGATTAGTAGATGCTGTTTAGCTCAGGGAGAAGACACCGGTTGTGAAATCCTGATGCTTATACAAAGAACCCAGAGAAAGGCAGGTGGAGTTCTAAATTTTCACATTATGAGAAGCAACTGCCTACAGGATGAACTTTATTCTGCACATAACCTGTGACATTTGAGACCAAAGCCTCATTTTCTCCACATTAGTTAGCTAGCAAAGGGTGGTAACCCCAAGAATGAACACAAATCTGGACTGTAATAAAGATGCCTTCCAGTTAAAGGTTAAACAAATGCCTTCTGGGGAAGAGCTGGCAGCCCGAGTTCACATGTGCAATTCACTGCTCTTCTATCTAAAACCTCCTCATCAATTTCCACCCTAACCCCTATGTTCCTAGAAATATAAAAACCTTTCCCTAACTAGCTTGGGGATTTTCTCGGGGAGAAGTTGAATTAAATTTCTTTAGCAATCTTGCTGTAAGTGACAAGCACACATGATTTAAATACCTCTAAATTGAGAATTTCCATATGGACTTGGCCTTATAAATATCAGATGCTGATAAAAATTACTGTTAAGAAAAAATGTGGGGATAGTTCGCAATTATCCATCGGGCACATCAGTCGTTGGCAACAAAGGGCAGTCAGAGTTGAGCCGACCCTTGGGGCTCTCTGGAAGTTTGTGTCTGTGTGTTGAAGGGGCCAGATGCCAGCGGGTTTGATGGGGTGATGGATTGTAAACCAAATGGGATTGGACACACAAACTGTGCAAATCGGCAGTAAAACAATTAGAGGTTCTTCTGTGTTGTTGAAATTGCATGCAACATTTTTTTCTTTTTGTAGAAGAACAAACTTTACATGCTTGCCACTCAAAAATACAAAAAAATACCAATGTTGCAGTTTTCTTTGCAATAATCTGAGCTAATGCAAGAGCCATATTAATGCAAGAGCTCAATAAATGTTAACTATTGGGTACTCAAGAACAAAAATGCATCTCGGAAGTGGCCTTGTAGAAAGAAGGTGGCCCATGGGTACTTAGAATAGTCAAAATCATAGTGATAGAAAGTGGACACTGGCCGGGCGTGGTGACTCACAACTGTAATCCCAGCACTTTGGGAGGCCGAGGTGGGCAGATTACAAGGTCGGGAGATCGAGACCATCCCGGCTAACACGGTGAAACCCTGTCTCTACTAAAAATACAAAGAATTAGCCAGGCATGGTGGCAGGTGCCTGTAGTCCCAGGCTACTTGGAAGGCTGAGGCAAAATAATTGCTTGAACCTGGGAGGCGGAGGTCGCTGTGAGCCGAGATTGTGCCAGTGCACTCAGCCTGGAGAGGGGGACTCCTCTCAAAAAAAAAAAAAAAAGAAAGTAGACATTGTCAGGGTGTCAGGGGTGCAGGGAAAGGAGAATGCGAAGTTAGTGTTTAATCGGTATGGGAGGTAAAAGGTGGGGAATTGTTCAGTGGGTACAGATTTCAGTCTGGCAAGATTAAAGAGTTCTGGAGGTGGACGGTGGTGATGGCTGCACAGCAATGTGAACCTACTGAATCCCACCGAACTGTTCACTTTAAAATGGTTATGATCGCTTGAGCTTGGGAAGTGGAGGCTGCAATGAGCTGTGATTCCACCACTGCACACCAGCCTGGGTGGCAGAGTGAGGGTCTGCCTCAAAAACAAAATTTTTAAAAAGGATAATATGCCTTTTATTTTCCAGAGTTGTCCTAAAAAGTAGGGACAGATGGTCATTCTCAGAAGCACTCACTTAAACACCATTTCCCTTTAAAAGGTAATAAACCTCACCAGAAACAAAAACAAAAAATTTGCTCTCCAAAAACATGAGGAAGGGAGGAAAATAAAAAAGAAGGTGGCCCAGCCATCCATCATGAAAGCCTGACGCTGTGACAGTTGGCTTGGCAGAATGGTGTCACGGGTAGACAGTGCAGGTTGTGTCATGCTCAGACCACACCAGTTCCTGCCTGGGCATGACCCTGGAGGTGAACAGGAGATGAAAAGTACAAAGTGCTTGGCCAGCAGGGAATGCACCTTGCTTCTTCCCAGGGGTGTCCAATCTTTTGGCTTCCCTGAGTCACTTTAGAAGAATTGTCTCGGGCCACACATGAAATACACTAACACTAACAATAGCTGATGAGCTATATATATATATTAAAAAAGTCACAAAAACAATCTCATACTGTTTTAAGGGAGTTTATGGATTGGTGTTGGGCCACATTCAAAGCCATCCTGGGCTGCATGTGGGCCGTGGGCCGTGGGTTGGACAAGCCTGTTCAAAGCCGTGCTGAAGAGGACTGAACACGCACTGGAGGTTCTAAATTAGATGAAAACCTTACCCAAAGTGGTACCCAAAGAGAGGATGTTTTTCTCAACAACTCACAAGACCTCAAAGTCATATTAGTCAGAAAGTCTCGGAGGGTCCCAGTTTCAAAGATAATTTTGATGGACACAAAATCCTCAGTTCTAAGAAAATAAACCCAGGGCCCTGGGTGGCTCCTTCCAGATCCCCCAAGCCCTCGCTGCTCAGCCCAGCCCTGCTGTGAGCTTGACTCACCCGTCGGAGCCTGGCCTGGAAGGGGTGCTGTCCGATGAGAGGGAAGAGACAGAGGCCACAGACAGCGGCCGGGATGAGGAAGGCATCGTGAAGGACCGCACCATGGACCGGGGGCGGCTGCCTCTTCTATCGTCCAGACTTGAGGGCTGAGAGCGAGAAAGAGAGAGAGAAGGAGACTTGTTTGATGCCTGTGCCTGCCATGGTCAGACTCCTGACACAAAGTGATCTTAGCAGTGTGGAATCGAGACCATCATCGTTTAGACTTCTGTAAACAGTACCTGTTCTTGTTCTGAGTGGAAGACAAAAACAATGATTATTTTGGAGTATTTTAAAACCTAACCCAATACTGTGAAAGCATCGGAAGGAACCTTCTTAGCCTTTTAATACTCAATGCAGTTGTCTTCAAAGACCGCAATGTGTCAATACATTCCAAAGCCACAGGAGAATGTGCCGACCAGAAAGTTTAATGTAGAGTAACACCTAGCGAGTGATTAAAGAGTCTTTCGATCTTTAGATGAATTTTGTATATCTCTGCATGTTGATAGACTATACAGGCCATCAAAATGCATGAATCCATAATGACTGACCTCCTGTAGACAAAAATAAGATGCTCCTGCTGCCTAATTAAAAGTATGTTTCCTTTCTGCAAGTGACTGATGCCGTGGAGTAGATGAAACCACCGCTGAAGTTGCTAAAGCTTCTCCCACGTGCTAGGTAGTGAACTAGTGATGCATTGTGCCAAAAAAAAAAAAAAAAAAAGATCTCTAGACGGACTTTTCCATCTTCTTCTTGACATATTACTGAAACAAGTGTCCTTGAAATATAGCACGTGTCAACATCCAATTAGCTAGAAAATTCTAGTGTACCTGTACCCCGAGCCAGATGTTGGCACATCTGGGACTGCAGCTGCTGCACAAGGACTTTCCTTTAACTTGAGGATGTGGAAACTAAATTTCTGTAGGGCACTTCCTCTCTGTGTGGCGTTGACTTCCCCACGCTGCAGCCCCACCCCGCCCATCTCATTCAGCCAATCACCTACCGAAGACCTGCTGTAGACCGTGGTTCCAGCCCTCTGAGGCCAGAAGCGGTAGATTACAGGTAATATTCCTATAACACCACTTCCCCATCTGAAAAGTGGGCCTTTCTTAAATATGTGATCCCAAATAAAACAGCATTTGATGTGTAAACTATCTCTTCAATAATAAAAACTTCAAAATCGTAAAAGGGCACGAATTGGCCCCCATTTTCTGCACATTTTCTGTAAAGCAGTGGTCCTCAACTTTTTTGGCACCGGGAACCGGTTTCATGGAAAACAGACAGTTTTTCCACAGACTGGCAGGGGGTAGTTTCAGGATGAAACTGTTCCACCTCAGATCATCAGGCATTAGATTCTCATAAGGAGTGTGCAACCCAGATCCCTCACATGCACAGTTCATAATGGGGTTCATACTCCCACGAGAATCTAATGCCGCCGCTGATCTGACAGGAGGCAGAGCTCAAACAGTAATGTTCCCTCACCCGCCGTGCACCTCCAGCTGTGGGCGCAGTTCCTAACAGGCCACAGACTGGTATCAGTCCATTGCCTGGGGGCTGGGGCCGCCTGCTGCAAAGGACCAGGTAAGCATTTTAGGTTTGCAGGACATATGGTCTCTGTGGAAACTACCACATGCCGCCACGACAGCACAAAAGCAGCCACAGACAATACAGAAATGAATGAGCGTGGCCCGCCTGCCAACAAAACTTTATTTACACAACCAGGCCGGGGGCCACAGTTTGCTGACCGCTGGCTCTGAGTGACGTGCAGCTGGGATTTGCCAGCAGAGAGGAGCTGGTCAGTCTTGGACTGACCAGGCACCAATGATGGTGCCAGGGGATAGCTCCATGGAGATGTCCATTGTAATTACTCTGCCTTTAGAAGAAACTAAAAGGGAAATGGTTCCTTGGGGATTATCCCCAATTGTGAAAACCTTACCCTATACTTAATCTCAGAAGGTGACCTCAGGTCTTGGCTGAGATGTGTGAGTATGGATTTCAAGGAATAAAGGAAGGGGGCTGGCAGGAGGATGACTCCCGCCAAGGAAGGACAGAGGGTACTCTCGGGGTCCCATATTTGCAGGGCACTCCCTGGGTGCAACCATGGATTCTACTGGGCGGTCTGCCTCATAATTCCTTCTTGATTGAGCAGAGCCTCTAGAAATCAAGACCTCAGGGCTTTACTTCTGTTCCATCTGATGCAATCAGAGTCTCACCCAGTCCTGGCAGGTGTGACTCCAGGGCCAGACACTGACTGAAAGCAGGGCTGGTGGGTAGGAGTTGGGGATATTGGAACTAGGCTAGAATTGTGGCCCTGGCACTGACGGTGTGACCCTCCATAAAACCCGGAGCCACTCCGAGCCTCAGCTTCCTCCTGAACACACAGGGAACAGTCCTTCCCGCCCAGAGGGCCAGCGTTAGGACTAAATGAAATGATGCCAGGGACACCCACAGGGCTCACTACCCTGATGGCTGCTGCCGTCTTCACAGCCTAAGCAAACACTCACTCCAGTTCTCTGACCAGAGCGACCCCCGGCCCTGCCTAATGACCCTGAGTTTTACATCGCTGTCTCCCTCCCAGCTGAGTTGTAACGTCCCACCTCGAGCCAGCCACAGGCGTTTACTGCCCAGAATCTTGGATGGGAATGGGCTGGGTTAAGGGGGTTGGCTGAACTTCATCACAGGGACCAGTGCTGTACAAGGAAGGGGGAGAAGCAGGCACACTTCATCGTGATCTGGAATGTCCCTTTCCAGATGCTACACAAACGCCAGTTACAGCCTGAAAACCCACAGAGGGTGACACATTGTCCCTTGCGGAGGGCAGGCTGGGGAGGAGGGGCTGGGGGCGCGGGCAGGAGATGGGCAGACCCAGCAGGGAGGGTGCGAGTGTGGTGTTAGAATCTTGGCCGGCCCTCAGAGGCCACAAGACTGAAGGACACAGCTGCACCATCAGCTCTGCGTCTGAAACAGAACCCTGGTCCCTGGCTGTTCTTGTAGGCCATGCCATACTGCTTCTCTTCCCCATGGAACTCCAGCACATGGAACAGGTGAAGCTTAATGCTCCTGCTGAGGCTTCCCAGTCAACACCCCTCCCAGCAGCCTCTGAGGAACCCCGGGGTCCCTCAGATCCCAGTTAAGAGAACTACTGGGATGGGTCCCCCTGGCAGCTGTGGAGGGAAGGCGAGAGGAGAAATCCTGGAAGCTGGGGGCCAGGTCAGGGGCCAACTGTGATGGCAAAGATGGTGGGGTGAACCCCAGCACCACCAGGGGATACCGCGGCTAGAACTAACTTGAGGGAGGAAGGGTGACTGCTGGGTCTCTCCCGGGTCTGGGTGGCCAGTGGGTGTTGTGACAGTAGGTGGAGAGGTAACAGGGGGACAGTGGCATGTTGGGGTTATGGCTCTCCATGGTGTTCGGAATGATGAGGTGGACGGGAGTAGAGAGTGCAGAACCAGGGTCAATTAACCTGCTCCTAATCGGACTTGAAGAGGTAGATGAAGATTTGGTAAGAAACCTAAAGCTCTTTTTCACAAGCCTGAAGGCCAACACACATGCCTCCTGCACGCTGTGGGCCGGTGAGGGCGCGGGGGTCAATGCCGAACTTGGCGCTGTGGGCCGGTGAGGGCACGTGGCTCAATACCGAACCTGGCGCTGTGGGCTGGTGAGGGCGCGGGGCTCAATGTCGAACGTGGTGCTGTGGGCCGGTGAGGGCATGGGGCTCAATGTTGAACGTGGAAGATGCTCATGGGCTCATCCCCAGGGCCCTGCACGCCTCGCTCCCTAAAGGTCAGGAGAAGCTGAGCTGCAGAGCTGTCATCCAGGGAATGGCAGCTCCGTGGAGCCCCAGGACTGGAAAGATGAAAGCCAAGGCAGAGTGGCAGAGGGGCCTGGGTATCGAGAAGTCGGAGGGCGTCCACATCTTCTCTTTCAATGGCTTAAGCTGGCTCAGAAACATTGACAAAATGGTTTACCTCCTTTCTATGGAATTATTTTTAAATTTTAAAATCCATCTTTTTGCAAACAGGGTGATACTAGAAGGCTTTTCAAAGTGCTCTGAGATGCTTGCAAGTTTCCAAAGTAGGTAAGACAGGAAAGGCACACCCCAGACTGCTTTTTTTATTGCCACATTTCTCAGGGAAGGACAGGGGGACCTGCCAGTCCCCTTGCCTGCTCAAAGGATGCTTGCAGAGCCTGCTGTTGGGGTCGAAGGATGGAGCAGGACTCTGCAAGGTGGGCCCAGGGAACAAAGTATCCCAGGGTGGAAAATGCAACCTTCATTCTGCAAAAGCCTCCCACCCCTAGGAGGGGTGCCCCAGCTGGCGCTACAGAGAAGGGTGGGGAGTTTGCTGGAGACGGTGCTGTCTCACGATGTGCTGGAAATAAGCTCAGACCAAGGGACACACAGCACCCCCCAATCCCACACGGACGACCAATGCCACCACGGCACCCAATCACACGGCACCCCAATCCCACACGGCACCCCAATCTACAACGGGCACCGGCAATCTACACGGTACCCCATTCCAAACGGCACGCAAGTTACACGGCACCGCCAATCCACTGGCACCCAATCCACATGGGCACCGCAATCCACACGGTGCCCCATTCCACACGGCACCGCAATCACATCACCGGCACTGCAATCCAACGGCACCCATCCACACGGGCACCCAATCACATGGCACCCCAATAGGCGGAAGAGACAGAAGAGGGCGCGGCGACCCAATCACACGGCACTCCCAATCCACATGCACCACAATCACACGGCACTCCACCCCACGTCACCGCATGCCAACGGCACGCCATCACGGCACCCCCAATCCAACGGCACCCTACCTTCCTGCCCTTGCTTTCTCCACCTGTGCCCAAAGCAAGCACACTCAGAACTCATGAACCGTGGCAGAGAAAGGGATGTGCAGGATGTCTGGTGAGCCAGACAGCTTTCTGTGATTTTGAAATATACATTAAATGACTGAGAAAAGAGGAAGTTTTTCACTTAGGAAGAAAATGTCAAGATTTCACAAGTGTTTGTTTCTTAGAAAGAATTAATACAGGCATCAACTTTGAAAGAGATGTGCCGTGACGCACTCCGAAACGCTTCTTGCCACTCAGCTCTGATTGTAATGAGTTGCAGGCTCTGAAGCTATCAAGCACTACTCTAGCATCCTGACTTGCACAAAGGGTCCTCCAGCCCAGCCTTGAAGGAGAGTGCCTTGATTGCCATGCCTGTTCACCTGCAGCAGCTCATGCGGGGCTGGCAGTTCTAGACCCCCACTTGCTGAGTTTGCAACCTCAGAGCAGCAGTTGTGTTATGTTGGCTTTGTTGGGTTCAAGCCCTGCTGGGCCTGGGACGTCTCATCTGATGGACACCAGGCCCTAGGCTTAGAGGCACCAAGGTTCAGTCATGCCCGGCAGAGGCGGGGAGACTGGGAGGGCATGCAGTGTGATCACAGCCAAATTACCTTCTCTCAGGTGTTGTCCAGGTCTCATGTGCATTTCCTACCATGTGGGAAAGAGGCGGAGAAGCTCTGTGGTGCCAAATGTTAGCCCCTGGAGTAGGGGCTAAAAGCACAGACCCGGGACGTACATGGATGGGGCTTGAACTATGGGTCTGCCACGTGCTAGGGTGTAACTAGTTACCTTCCCATGTCCCCATTTCCTTGACTGTAAAATGGGGATGACTGCAGTGCCTGCTTCACAGAGTATGAGGCAGATTAAGCAACTGAGTATCTATATAGCACTTAGGAAGGTCCCTGACATGTGGGAAGCAGTTTGCTTATTGAGATCAATGTGTGAAAGAAAAGAGGGTTCAACAGAGAGCAGCTGAGAACTTCAGGGACTGGTGGACAGGCCGCCCTGGGCCAAGAAAAAAGCCAAAATGGCACACCCCACTCGATACCTGGTCTTCAAGGAGCAGAGGAAAGTGCTGTATGTCATCTGGGAGAAGCAGTGCGACTTCCCACAGCTCACCTTCCTTTTGCAGGGGAGTTGAAGCCCTGTGCACACCCCCTCAGTGCCAGCAGGCATGCAATTCCAGTAGACAGAAGAGAGCTTCCTGCTTCTCCGTGCCACACTGCCCCCATCCCTGAACAGTGGGGAGTGGGGACCCTTTGCTGTGCCTGGGCAGACAGTGTAGGCCCCGCAAAGCTCCCAGAGGCTGAGGAAAGATGGGAGCAGCACTCTGAGCTGCAGAGCAGGCCAGCACTCTGACTCACGGTGCTTGGCTTTGCCACCACATCTGCTAAGGCATGGCTCCTGGGGACGGTCTCAAGTGGGCTGTAAGACTTGAACTGTAAGGCTTTTGCATCATTAAAACTCTACAAGCTGCTCTCCACCCTGCTCCTGATGCCAGCCTCTCCTCAGAAACCTTCCATAAACTCATCGCCAAAGCTCAGTTCTGCCCTTTATCCCAAGCAGAGCCTCCTGCCCCAGCCTGGCATCCCTCATTCTTGGAGGTTGGATGCCTTTCCATGTCTACTCTGAATTTTCTTTTCTGCCCAAAGCATGCCTGTGTCTGCACTGGCCCCTGGCCTGCCATTCAAACGCCTGCCTCTCAGCCTTTGTTGAGGAAGTTCCTTTCTCCAGACAGTGTCTTCCTGATCTCCTCCCCTGACCACATCTGGCTTATCCTCCTTGGTCTAGATCAATTACCCCTTCCTACAACAGGTAAATCTTTGCTAATAATTTCACACTCCAGACATCCATCACTTCTCCCCTGATGGCCATGATCCTCCGACATCAACTTTGGGCTGGGCCACCTCTGTCACGGGCCATGATGAGTGCTGTTGCCCTGTGGATGACCAAACCCTTTGTGTGTATTATATGACTGTAGGTGTGCACTGTCAACCAGCTGAGTTGCCTGGGCGCTGTGAGATTTCTCCATTGCTCTACAACAATAAGGTTGGACCGTGTTCACAGCAGGTGAGGGGGCATTTGGCTATCAAGGAAATTCATGAATGTTTATTCGCCCTGGTATTTCCAGTTATTGAAAGGAGGTTGCGGAGCTGCTGGTAGACAGACTGCCCAAGGGGGCTGAGCTCCCTCACATCCCACTTCCTAAGCAGGCACCATGTGCACATGTGAGTTCCTCTGCCCTGGGAGCTTGTCCCAGTTCAACAGTGGGATGCCCAGACACCCACTCTCCTGCAGTACTACCCTTACGACCCTCTTACCATGATTCGGACGCCATACTCTTTCTCCACTTTTTCCTTCAGCTGTTTGAAACAGGCCTCCATCCTCTCATGGAACGGCCTCAGTGCCTCCGTGACTTTGTCTCCATGGATTCTGATCCCTTCGGCCAGAAAAGGAATCTGGAAAATACAGAGGTTGACATTCCTTATTTCTTGGATAATGATCTAGGAAGAGCCATGCACACCTGGGGAAAGGGGAACTGGCAAAATGATCTGCTTTGGTTTCCAAATCAAACCAGTGGATTCAATTCACCAGCAGGCATATTACCACCAAAGACCAGAATGGTTACATGAAAACCATTCGGGTTCTGAATTGACTGTGTCCAGTGTGGTGCGCCCTATACCATGGCTACTCAATCAATTTCCCAGAATAGACTATTTTTTTTTTTTTTTTTTTTGAGACGGAGTCTCGCTCTGTCTCCCAGGCTGGAGTGCCCTGGCGCAATCTCGGCTCACTGCAAGCTCCGCCTCCCGGGTTCACGCCATTCTCCTGCCTCAGCCTCCCGAGTAGCTGGGACTACAGGCGCCCGCCACCTCGCCCGACTAGTTTTTTTGTATTTTTTAGTAGAGATGGGGTTTCACCGTGTTAGCCAGGATGGTCTCGATCTCCTGACCTCGTGATCCGCCCGTCTCGGCCTCCCAAAGTGCTGGGATTACAGGCTTGAGCCACCGCCCCCGGCCCAGAATAGACTTAATCTGTGCTTTTCAGTTGAGTTTGGGAAGAGCTGCACCTCGAATTTGTTTAGATGTAACTTGTTCTGTTAGCAAAGGGTCATGTCAGAGTGCAAACATTTTTTAGCTAAGAATATTGCCGTTACGAGAACCCTATTCCAAAAGGTAATTACATGTGCTCTATAGTCCTGAAAAATATTCCTTTTTTGGAAGGGAAAACCAAATTTATTCTTCTTTAAAACTAAAAATAATCGCTTCTCTGCCGACACTGCTGTCACAAAATATCCATGCCAACACTTCACATCCGAAAGTGGAGATGAAGCTGACCTTTAAAAACGTTCTGAGAGAGACATTTTCATTCTCCCAGCTGCAGAGACCCACCAGAGTTGCTGCTGTTGGGGGCGGGAGAAGCAAAAGTCTTCCTTTACGTCCCCGGTCTCCGCTTCCCACCAGGGCTCGGACTCAGTTAGACATTCTCCCATGTAATCAAGCTAAGAGGCTTCCTCTCAATAATTTATAATTAAATCAAAATACTGATTAAAAACAGATTTTCCTAATAGGACAGAACACCAATCTAAATGAGCAGATTTATTAGTATGAACGATAATAAGTACACAATTGAATTTCATGTGAGCAAATTCAAGAAATCTTATCAAGATGAATCAACGCATCAAATGTATTTGGTTACCATTTATAGCACGCAGCTGTTGCCTCTCTTGATGCTCCAGGAAAGGAGGGAGTAGCACTGCTCTCCTCACTCACAGCCCTCCTAGCCTGCTTTGAGGTTGCACCGACACAAAAGTTTGTTTTGTTGACAGCTGGGCCCAAACGCTAGGCACACGTCAGGCCTTTCTGGCCAGTTATCACCGAAACGACAGCATGCAGGAGAGATTTCAAAATACATCGGTTGTTTTAATATTCCCTATGAATTACGTGTGCAGATGGCAGCTTCCCCGGGGCTAGCCGCAGTTTACTCAGGGCCAGCAGTAGAAAATGCTCACTGTCAGCCTTCTGCCTCCTGAGTTCCGCCTTGGGGGATGACGCAGGCAGACTGGGACAACTTTTGGCGGGATGTCGAATGTGTTGTGTCTCTCTCTGGATGCAAAGGCAGGGGGGATGTGTGGAGGCGCTGTGGCAAGGTGAAAGCACAGGCACCCTAGATACTAAAAGCATTTCTGATTTAGGGTGGGCCTTTCTCAGACTATAAAATGTAACCTAGTTTCTGAGTTTTGCTATTGTTGGTGTTGATGGTGGTGTGATAAAACTCTTAATTGGTCAGATTCTTTCTGTCAAAGAAGGGTCTTGCTAGATGACAGTTAAGACCATTTGCTTTAGGTCACTGGTGCTGCTCGAACTGCAATTTGACAGGTGAAATTTAGAAGGTGTGAGAATTCATGACTCTCAACAGTTCCTGACACTGATGGGAAATAACCTTCTTAGAGGACAGGACCTGGTCCCCTGTTATATGTCTACTTGGGGCTGAACTGCAGGTGTGATTCTAAATGGAAGAAGGTAAGAGGATGCCCTGAGTAAACACATTCCAACACACAAGGCACTTAACATACAGATAGACTGAGGGTCTTAAATGGTCTCTGGAGACCCTGTAGTTCAGTGGGTTCCACTCTGGCTAAGCATCAGAGTGTCTCGGGCAGATTCCTGAACCCTACCTCCAGAGCCCTGATTTGCTGTAGGCAGATCCCAGGAATCTGCATTCGTAAAGAGCTTCTCAGAGGCCAGAGCCGGGAGAGCACTTTCCCTAAGCCGCACCTCTAGTTGATCAAAGCGAGCTTGCTGCCTGCACTATAAAGGCGCCCTCCTGATGGGCTGTATTTGAAGTCTGCTCCTGTCTGTCCCCTGCGCAGATTCATGCCCTGAAAGCAGCGCAGAACATTTGGAAGCCTTGCTCAGTGCTCCGGGAGCACCACCCCTGGACACAACAGTCATGCTTGTCATCAGCTGGGGATGATGGCTGAGTTCAGCCTTTCATCTTTGTACTTTTCAAAAGCGAAATATGTACACATCACAGTAGTTTGATATGGGACTGTATGGATTTATCTTTGGATACTCGGCAGGGATGCTCCACAATGACAGCTGTGTATGGGGAAAGATGGAACTGTGCCTTTGAGAAAGGGACTCATGACCTGGTGCCAGCTGCGAACCTAGAGGAGGCACCTCGCAGCGTGCACCCTGACTGCAACTTCCCACCCAGCGAGGAGCAGGTCAGCCCATCCTCTGTTTCCGAGTTAGCAAGCAGGGCTGAGGAGGAGCTGTCTGGGACGTAGTAACCAACCTTCACAAACCACTGTAGGCATCGGAACTGTGCTTATTATACATCGGTGATGAAAACTCTGCACATGAGTCCTGGGGCTCCCAGGAGAAAAGCCTCACTCTGCCCTGACAGAGTTTCAGGAAAAAACCAAACCAGATGAACTAATACACAAAAAGAGAACAAAGCATTCTGATAAACTCCAACTTCTTATTTTTAATGAACATATGACTCAGCTGCCAATACCAAGACATGGGTTTTCCAAACATTTGCAAATGAATGCAAAATCACAGGTGGTGTTTGCAATATGCATTTTTCACCACTCTTTGATATAACGAAGTTACTAGAAAACTGATTCTTTTAACTTTCCTGTGACCTGCTTTAACATTCATCCTTTAATACAGTTATTAGGAATGATGACACGGTGCTGACATAAAGCTGCTCTCTGGGGAACAAATTATTTTCCTCTGTAGGACTTGAAACTCTTAAAATCCAATTTGCTGTAAAAGCTTACAGGAAAAAAAAAAAATCAATAGAACTTTTGCAGACCAAACTAGTTTTTGTATAGCAATAGTTTTATAGCCTGCAGAGGAATTTTGAATTTCGTACCCTTTAGTACAAAATCTACAACATCTGAAATGGAAGCATTCACAATTTTAAACTCCCACTTTTTTAGTGACAGAGGGACACTGTCTACATGAGGCTTACATTCCATGCAAAGAAGCCACAGTTGGCCAACAATGTCCCTTTCAGTCAAACTCTGAGGACTTTCAAAACCATAATTCCAAATGCAGATTTCAAATGCAGACAGATTTGTGACAGTCTGATTTCTTCCCTCTTAATTTTTGTTTATATATACATATAAATAAAACTTCTCACTCATTAAAACGGCTATTATTTAAAAGACAAACAGGCCAGGAGCGCTGGCTCACACCTGTAATCCCAGCACTTTGGGAGGCTGAGGCCGGCGGATGAGAGCAAGAAATCGAGACCATCCTGGCCAACATTGTCTACTCTACTCTACTGAAAATACAAAAATTAGTTGAGCATGATGGTGCATGCCTATAGTCTCAGCTACTCGGGAGGCTGAGGCAGGAGAATCGCTTGAACCTGGGAGGCGGAGGTTGCAGTGAGCCAAGATCACGCCACTGCACTCCATCCTGGTGACAGAGCGAGACTCCATTTCAAAAAAAAAAAAAAAAGACAAAATAACAAGTCTTGTTGGGGGTGCAAAGAAGTTGGAATCATGCATTACTGCTGATGGGAATGTCAAATGGTGCTGCGACTGTAGAAGAGTTTGGCAGTTTCACAAAAAATAAACACAGAATACCACATGAGCCAGCAAGTCTAAATTTGGGTGTATACCCCAAACTATGGGAGTATTGAAAGCAGGGACTTGAGCAGGTATTTGTACACCCACATTCACAGCAGCATTGTTCACACCAGCCAAAAGGTAGAAACAACCCACATGTTGTTCCTCGACAGATCCGTGGAGAAACACATTGTGGTCCAGCACTATAATGGAGTATTACTCAGCCTTAAAAAGGAATGAAGTTCCGACACACGCTACAACATGGATGAACCTGGAAGACATTCTGCTAAGAGAAACAAGCCAGACAAATAAGGACCAGTGTTACACAATTCCACTCATATAAGGTATCTAGAGTAGGCAAATTCATAGAGACACAAAGTAGAATGGTGGTGACCAGGAGCTGGGTGGAGGGAGGAATAGGGAAGTTGTTCAATGGGTACAGAGTTGGAGCTTTGCAAGACGACAAGGCTTTGGAGATGGACGGTGGTGGTGCTGGTTGTACAACAACAATGTGAATGTACTTATTGCCTCTGAACTGGACACTTAAAAATGTTTGAGATGGGAAATTTTATGTTATTTACATTTTATCACAATTATTTATAACATATATATATAAAACATATATTATGTTTGTATAACAATGTAAGTACTTAGAATTAAAAAAATCCAACCCGTCCTATACATCTAAACACAAATTTAAAAGGACTCGTATCTTGGCTCACAACCAAAGCTCAGCCTTGCTCCACTCTGAGATGTCTCACTGGCCAATGTGCTGACAGCAGAGAAACCACTAAGAAGAGGCCCCGCTGGGATGCCAGAATAAAAATGCTCACAGTGGCCTGGTGCAGCGGCTCATGCCTGTAATCCCAGCACTTAGGGAGGCCAAGGCAGGCGGATCACCTGAGGTCAGGAGTTCAAGACCAGCCTGGCCAACATGGCAAAACCCCATCTTCACTACAAATACAAAAAAAATGAGCTGGGCATGGTGGCACACACCTGTAGTCCCAGCTACTAGGAAGGCTAAGGCAGGAGAATCACTTGAACCCCAGAGGAGGAGGTTGCAGTGACCTGAGATCACGCCACTGCACTCCAGCCTGGGCAACAGAGCGAGACTTCATCTCCAGAACAAACAAACAAACAAACAAACAAACAAACAAACAAACAAACCTGCTCACAGTGAAGTCTCATAAGAGGAACAGCCTTGCCTTGTTCTTTTCTTTTTGTTTGTTTTTGACAGTTTTGCTCTTGTCACTCAGGCTGGAGTGCAGCGACATGATCTCGGCTCACTGCAACCTCTGCCTCCCGGGTTCAATCGATTCTCCTGCCTCAGCCTCCCGAGTAGCTGGGATTACAGGCACGCGCCACCACGTCCGGTGAATTTTGTATCTTGCCCTGTTCTGGACTGAGTACAGATCAACTGCACAGCATCTCTGGGCCTCGACTGGGAGCCTAGGACCCCAGCTTAGCAAAGTGGCCTGAGCTATGACACCCAGTCCAAACCCGTGCAGGCCTTTGCCTCCACCTCCCTCAACTCTCTTTACACAGTGTGGCGAGACCTCGGGGACAGCAGCCTCCTCGCCTCCCACATGAGAAAAGGAGGCCTAAAGTGGCAGTGGCCTAAAGCAGCAGAGCAGGCAGGTGCCGGCCAAGCGCTTGTAAGGACAGGCTCTTGATGACCCCTACACTTCAGGCTCAGGAAGGCTCTGAGAAGCACAGACACATCTGCTAGGTTCTGACACTGAACCCAAGGCACCCAGAGTCTGCCCTTTCAAGACGATGGCCCTCTGGGAAAGGCTCCAGAGGCTTCAGGAGCATGAGCAGAACAGTGAAATAACATGCACAACTTCAGCTGGGAAAACACAAATGAGGACACGCACCACTGCCAGAGGTGCACGAACAGGGAGAGGGTGCACCGCAGCTTCTGACCTACGTGCGTTTCACAGGGACTGCACTGGCCCGAGCGCCTTTCCTGGCATAGGCTAGAGCTCAAGGTTTCATGGCACTGAGCTCACCTCAATGTTCTATCAATACAGACAGAGAAAGAATTTTCCAGCAGCTGGCAGAATTGACCAAGGGGAGGAAAGAGACCTTGTTCCTTTGCAAGAGATAATTTTCTGGGTGTTCAAATTCCTGACTGTAGCCCAGGAGCCGAGCTGATCATGACAGCAGTGGGTGGGTTCACCCAGGGACAATCACAGTCATGTGCATCATGACTGCAGCCCAGGGACCTCCATGCCGGCTGGTGTGTGTGCTGAGCCTAGACCCTCCTAGCTTCCTTCCCTCCAGCCATGCACGGCTCTCGCTGGACACCTTACCTGCCAGGCAATCAGATCCTTGAGCTTCTCGATCTTTTCATGGGCCTCAGGGTGCTCCTGCAGGTACCGGTCTGTAAAGAAGGCCTGGTGGAGACAGGGAGAGTCACTCAGTGCACCTGCTCAGCAAACACAGGTTTTTGCACACTTACTGTGCTCCAGGCCCTGAGAATAGAGCTGTGCATAAAACAGATCCACACGGAGCTCACTGCAGACCTAGGGTCACACCCTCTGCAGCACCCAGGACAAAATGTCCCATAAGGGCAGACACCGAAAGTGGAGCTAATGGGCTGTCTACAGCAGCAATCCTGTTTCTTGGGGTCCAAGAAGGCCACAGCTGACCTGGTGGCTTGGTCCTGCTGGATGGCAGTGAATACAGCCCTCTCACCTCCTCACACGCCCATGCCCCCCACCCAGCCCCTGCACCTGCCCAGACCTGACCTACACCTGAATGCAACGAACTTCTTTGTGCAAGGGCGGGTAACCGCCTCCTCGCAGCCTTCTCTCAGGCAGTACCCCTCTTGTCTCAGTTTTCACTCTGTCTAGATCAGGGGTCAACAAGCTTTTTTTGTGAAAGGCCAGACGGTAAACATTTTAGGTTTTGTGGACCATACAGGTCTCTATCACAATTACTCGATGCTGCCACTACTCAACTCGCCAGTTATAGTATCAGGAAAATAGCCTCAGGCAGTAAGTAAGTACACAGGCATGGCCTTGTTCCAGAAGAGCTGCATTTACAAACACAGGCAGGGGCAGGCCCGTGGTCTAGGATACACCCTGTGTCCTTCAACTTCTACCCATTCCTACAGAGTTAGGATCCAGGGAGACCAGCGGGCCAGGCCCCCTCCACCGCCAAAGCGCTACCTCCCTAGTCCTGATATTCTGATGTTTTTGTTTAACTTTATCTTTTGGCCTTTAAGATCCCAGACCTTGCAAAAGCCACTGGAGGCCTGGGCACAGATAAGCCCTTCCTGGCTGTCTGGGGAAGCCCAGGGGAGCCTTGCCAGGGCTCAGGCCATGACTCTGCTGCAGCCTTCAGGGGCCACCACTGGCTGCTGCTGCCTGGCCTTGGCTGGGCCACTGCTGAGATTGCTCAACGAGACCAGGCGCGTTTCTGGGCTTTGGGGACCCTGGAATTTTCAGTCTGTCCCAGGGCAGGACTGCCTGCCCAGAGCAAGCTGGTGGATCCCGTGCCTTTTCGTAGTTTGTGAAGCCCCCCATGACAGCTGGGTCCACGATGCCGTTCAGGAGCATGGAGAGCGGGTTGATGGGCAGGCTGGGGTCATCCAGGTGCTGCTGCACCATGCTGTTGATCTTGTCATTTGTCAGCTGCATGGTCTCGATGGCGTTCTCCAGGGGGCTGATTTCCACCTGCAAGGAGAGAGGAGAGCCCGCATGTCAGCCCCATGGCTGCCTCCACTCCCGGGGTCTCAGCAGAGGAGCCACGTGCTCTGGGGCAGGCTTCCTGCTCCTCCATGAACCTTTCTTCCAAACAGAATCTTTGGGCAGCTGGGCATTTTATTATTATTGTTTGTTCTCATAGATGAAAATTCCAAAGGAACAAAGCAAAGCTGCTGCTCCGCTCTGGGGGCGGGGGCTGTGTGTGCACGTGGCTATGCACACATGTGGTCATCCCAGGAAAACACAGCCTTGAGTGGTGCTTGAACACACCTGCTTCAGAACAGAGACTGCCAATTCTGTTCTTGTTCTCTGCTTGCTGTGCAGAGGGAGATGTTCGGGACTTGAGGAATCCAGGCCCGGGCAGCCTGCACTACCTGTCCAGTTAGGGAGGGCAAAGGAGGCCAAGGGAGGGCCCTGCCATGGCACCACACACCATCATGTGAAGGAGGAGTGATGGGCAGGTGCAATGGCTCCCGCCTGCAATCCTAGCACTTCGGGAGGCTGAGGTGGGTGGATCACCTGAGGTCGAGTTCGAGACCAGCCTGGCCAACATAGCAAAACCCTGTCTCTACTAAAAATACAAAAATTAGCCAGGTGTAGTGGTGCATGCCTGTAATCCTGGCTACTCGGGAAGCTGAGGCAGTAGAATTACTTGAACCCAGGGGGCAGGGGTTGCAGTGAGCCGAGATTGCGCCACTGTACTCAGGCTGGGCAACAGAGTGAGACTCCAAAAAACAAACAACAACAACAACAACAAAGAGAGCTCATGGCCCCCGGGGTTGGGAGGAAAAGGCTGCTTGGAGCACTTAGGCTGCCCTCACAGGCCTCATTTGCACACCTGCCATGGTTAACGAGACTGTCAGTGCTGGAGGTAGGGGACTGACCATCTGTCCTCCTGGCTCCCAGTGCATGTCTCTCAGAGACCTCCACCCTCTTTCTCTGAGGGCCCCACAGGGCCTGGCCTGGCCAAGTCTCAGCCCAGTGCCCTCCAGCTCAGCCCTAACGTGCCAGGGCAACGTGGCTGGCTTGGTCTAAGGCAGGGACCACAGCTGCCCTCAGATCTTGCTTGAGCAGACCAAACCTCCTCCTCACGCTGGGCCACGGGGACCATGTCCCAGGGTGACCCCGGCAATAACTTTGCTCCTTCCAAAGGAGGCGTGATGGTCCCCTACCCGTGCCCAAGAGCTCTGGGTATCTTCATGTCTGGCATTCTTCCTGCTGCAGCCTCCAGGGGACTGCCTGCGAGTTGGGGGTGGGGCAGGGCAGAGATGAACAGAGAATGGGCCATTCTGTCCATCAGCAACCCCAGGCTGGCACTCCTAGGTGGCTGTGGAGGTAACAGAGGCTCTCTGCCCACCGATGTCACTGTCCTTGCACTGATGGAGGGACAGCCTCGGGGAGATTGTGATACACTGGGTGTGGCCAGCCAAGTGCACACTGCTGAGAGGGCCCCTTGTCCGGTGTCCTGGACAGCAGGCATAGCCATGCTGTCCTGAACCCACAACTTGCTTTGCCAGGCCCTACATTTCATCCCGGGCACAGTTTCACCAAATGCACACTCCAGGGCAGTATTCCACCTGGGCTGACTGTTAACTAACTCCCTGTTACTAATCTCATTTGCACTGAGAAAGAATCCTTCCTATTTTTATGGAACAAGGTTAGCTGCTGCTCCTACAGATATCCCACGGGCGTTGGTCCCAAGTGGCATAAGGAGGGCACCAGGGTTTGGCAGCAGGATGTCAGTCCTGCCATTCTGGGATTATTTGCCTTCCTGCCCTCTTAGTCTGTTCAAAATGGCCAACGCACCTGAGGAGAAGTTGCATCCTCACAAAAGCTCAGGGCTCCCCTCTCCACCTCCCTAAGCTCCTGCATCCGGCAGCCGCTGGCTGGCAGGCCCCGACTACAAAGGGCTCATGTGCAGAGGGTGATTAAGAGGATCACGGCCTGTTTAGGTGGAGGGCCTGCTCTTCTGTTGTCTCCTGTATGTACAGTGCTTCACCAGCTACAAAGGGACCCAACAAAGGCGGTGCATTTTTACCACCTGACACATAACTCCTACAGCCTTCTATCTGTCAGGTGCTGCCTGGCTGCTAGGGGCACAGAAAGGGAACTCCAGAGCAGAAAGTGCCCCCAGGAGGGGTAGGCAAAAAGCCCTGGGTGCTTCGAGTATAAAGAGGTGGCTCTGACCACAGGCGACCTCTCAAAGAGAGTGGCCCATAGCTGCCCATAGCTCATGCTGGTGTGGGCAAAGGAGAAGCCTCGGCGCTGGACACGCAGCTGGGCAGACAGGTGCCGGCCAAATCCTAGAGACGAATAATCAGGGGTTTCGGGGGAACTCATTGAAAACTAAATGGCAAGTACCACCCCCCTCAGTGAGTTCTTGCTGGGGGAAAACAAAAGGCATTGAGACACATGAACAAACACTTACATATTTCAATCAGATGTTTTTATATTGCCAGTTGCCTTGGCCTTGACATTTCAATACTGTCAATAAATCTGCTGCTCAACTCTGGTTCATGTAAATGAAACTGTCCAATAGCTCACTGCAAATGTGAGTTTCATGTAAATGAAATGGTCCCATGGCAAAAGCAAGGTTCAGCTTTGTTGAGAGGTAGAAATCGTTATTTCTTTAAAAAGGGTCAGGGAGGGGTATGTTCTCAGGCTATTCTTACTTGAAATGGGCAAGAAGTATTAATTAATAGTTGTTTGTCACGTAAAAGGCAATAAAACCATCAGGAAAAAATATCTTTAAAAAAGTTCATGTAAATTGGAATTTGTCTTAAGCTTTTCACTTGGTTAACAGAAAGCACTGTCAAACAGCACAGCTATGACTGAATTTAAATATGCTGCAAGAATAAATGAAATCTTCATTCTGGTTTTTTGATAAGCTAGAGTTGGTCGTGATTACACAGCATTTCCACTAGAATATGAATATGCGTGGGCGAGGAGATATTGATGCTCTCAAGAACAGGTAGGGTGGTTACGTGAATTGTAGGGTCTGCTGTGTGCACACTGACACACTGACCACGGGATACGAGCAGGTGAAGAAAGCGTGGCAGACTGTATTGAGGAAGGGAACGGACAATTCCTTCTGGGGTGGGGGCCATCCTTACCATGAAAACAGACTTGACCTCAAACCACCTTAAAATTCCAGGTAATTTATATGCAGTTGTGTATATGGTTCTCTCGATCCACATATTCTGCAAAGGAAACACACACACACAACACGGGTTAGAAGGATGTCAGCAGGTGGACAGCTCTGCCTTAAGGGGGATTTACAGAATAACTCTGTAGGCCCTGCAGTCAGGTCCTTCAGCAGGACAGGGTCTGTGGTGCTCAGCACAGGGCACGTGTGCCTTCAGGTAGTACCTCACAAGCCACGCTCTGCCTAACGGTCCCTCAGGATACATCAAAGTATCCGCTGTCCCCTAGCCAACACTGTCCACCACTCTGGTATATGACAATGCAGGTATACTAGGTGAGTGAGAAAGATGTGTATACTCCAAAATGAGGCATGGGGAGCCCCTCATGACCAAAGAGATTTTGAGAAAGGCTCCAAAGAAGTCTTATATTAGCCAGTGTTCCTAAGAAACTAAAAGGGGTAAACACATCTTTGGGAGACTGGATTTAATCCAAGTGACCCCTGATGTTCTGATAAAACCAGTCGGTATTTTAAGCTTTAAAAATTTTTGACGTGGCCGGTTGCAGTGGCTCACACCTGTAATCCCAGCACTTTGGGAGGCCGAGGCAGGCGGATCACAAGGTTAGGAGATTGAGACCATCCTGGCTAACACGGTGAAATCCCCTCTCTACTAAAAATATGAAAAATTAGCTGGGCGTGGTGGCAAGTACCTGTAATCCCAGCTACTCGGGAGGCTGAGGCAGGAGAATGGCATGAACCTGGGAGGCAGAGGTTACAGTGAGCTGAGATCGCGCCACTGCACTCCAGCCTGGGGGGCAGAGCGAGACTCCGTCTCAAAAAAAAAAAAAAAGTTTTGACGTAACTAATATGTTTACATGAGAACATAAAGATATGGAAACAGCAGGAGGAAAAACCATCCCCTACCTAAAGCTGATAACCTACATGCTTTAGTATCTATTGTTCAAGACTTCTTACTAAGTGTTAAAAAGTGTGTCTATGCATATTTTAAATAAAAACATCATTTGTCTGTGTTCTTTGTAAAATAATGTATTACATATTGCAGGAAACTGTTCTAAGCCAATAAATATAATTCTACTTCTCTTTAGGGATTGCACAAAAACTCCATTGCAGGGGTCAACTGGAAACCCTACCCTACCGCTTCTTTTGTACTGTCTAGCTGGCAACAATCTTCTGCCATTCCAACCTCCCTGCACTGCAGGGTCACCAAGCAGTCTGAGTCTGTCAACAGGAATCTCGACTTAAGCAGATTGGATAATGGGATGCCAGTCATTCCGGAAAACTGGACAGGCGCGGGGGCTCACACCTGTAATCCCAGCACTTTGGGAGGCCAGAGCAGGCAGACTGCCTGAGCTCAGGCCTTCGAGACCAGCCTGGGCAATGTGGCAAAACCCCATCTCTACTAAAAATACAAAAATCAGCCAAGTGTGGTGGCGGGTGCCTGTAGTCTCAGCTACTCAGGAGGCTGAGGCACGAGAATCACTTGAACCCGGGAGGCGGAGCTTGCAGGGAGCTGACATTACACCACTGCACTCCAGCCTGGGCAACAGAGCGAGACTCTGTCTCAAAAAAAAAAAAAAAAAAAAAAAAAAAGAATTCAGAAATCTGGCTTGGATCTTGGAAAGCATTTATCCCACACTTCTAAGGGAAGGAGCTGGTTGAAGCCACAGGGACACAGGCAAGACCTCCATGTCCCAGGCCAGTCCTCCTTTGCCCCGTGGGGACGGCTCCCTCAGGTTTTTGTCCTAGCAATGGAAGCAGGTCTGGCCCTCTCACATCCACCTCTAGAACAGATTCCAGTGCTTTTTCTCATGTCAATATGCCCTGAGAGGGACCTCTGGGTTCCATCCTGGGCTTTACGGCCAGCTCCTGCTCACACAGGCCCTGTCTCATCTTCCTCCTTGTCAGTGCCCTCACTCCCCAGCACGTCAGTCACCCCTTGCCAGGTGTGCAGGTGTGAGCCACCTTGCTCTGCTCTCGGCCTGTTGGGCAGCTTCCCCAGCCCGCTGCACTTGGAGCTGGGCTCCCTGCTGTAGGGCCGGAGCCTGGCTTCCCAGTAGAGCAGAAGACTTTGTACTTACGTGAGGTTTTGGGGGGCATGTGAAGGACCAAATCCTGTGGCTTCCGAACACTTTGTCCAAGTGCCTAGACCTAAACGGGGCCGTTAGGGGACTTCAGGGCCATTTAGAAGAAGCATAGCCTCTGGGCTCAGCACAGCTCAAAATGTCAAGAGCTTTCGTTATTCTTAGCTCTGCACCCAACTGGCTGCGCACCCTTCAGCAGTTCACTTGACCTCCTTGTGTCTATTTCTTTATAGTCTAAGAATATATCTACTTGCCAGATGGGAGAGGTGTGAGGGAAATTCAACTGCCTATAAATCCCACAGTTGAGGGACTCCATATAAATACTAGCGTTAGTGCTTGTGATGACAGTAACAGGTGCAGACTGCTCTGAAAGCCACTGCCCTCAGCGAGGGTGTCCAGGTTAGACATGCCTAGGTTCTGCCCGCACTGCTGCAGACAACAGACACTGCAGTGACCAGTCCTGGAGGAGGTCCAGGGTGCTGGGTTCACCAATAAATAGGGTCTTAATCTTCAAACAACCAACCTGCTGGGACTGCACAATACTGCAGATTCCACCAACTCCAAGCTCCTTTGTGCTCCTTGGTGACACCAAGGAATCTGGCCTCAGGGCTGGAAGGAACTTCCCCATGGCTCTTAAGAGCTGAGATAGGAGACTCACAGGTACTGCCCTGAGGATCCGATGACTGGCGGACCCCTGAGGGATTGGCAGGGAGAGTGCGCAGACGCCACTCTTCACTTGAGGCAACCCTGCTGGAAGGGTTCTGAGCTTTGCTCTGGTCAGGAGTAGGGTGCTAATTCACCTTTGACCTTGGTAGCCTAGATGCCTTCAGACGGCACACAAGAGAAGTCATTCTCAGCAGAGCTGGTCCTCCTTGGGGGACCCCAGACTAATGCCTCCTTGCAATATAGGACTACATAGGGATTTTCGGAGGTTTCCCAGGCAAGATGGATAAACATTAACTTTTTAAAAAAAATTATGGCTTATTTGATGCCTTTTCAACATGGATCCACTCACTTGAGCCCAGGAGTTCAAGACCAGCCTGGGCAACATAGACCCCACCTCTATACAAAAAAATAAATAAAATAAAAATACAAATGAATCCATGAAAGCAGTTTGTATGTAGAATTTTTAAAAGGCTCTACGGCCGGGTGCGGTGGCTCACACCTATAATCCCAGCACTTTGGGAGGCTGAAGCGGGCGGATCACGAGGTCAGAAGATTGAGACCATTCTGGCTAACACGGTGAAACCCCGTCTAAACACACAAAAATAAAAGAAAACTAAAAATACAAAAAATTAGCCGGGCGTGGTGGTGGGCACCTATAGTGCCAGCTACTGGGGAGGGTGAGGCAGAAGAAAGGTGTGAACCCAGGAGGCGGAGCTTGCAGTGAGCCGAGATTGCACCACTGCACTCCAGCCTGGGTGACAGAGCGAGGCACTGTCTCAAAAAAAAAAAAAAAAAACAAAAAAGAAAGAACAAAAAAACAAAAAAAGCTCAAGATGTTTGCTTGTTATTTCTGCAATCCAAATCCGTGGGTTTGCAACAGGGGTGATGTTTTATTTGCAATTTCCTGGACAACTTTTTTTGTTTTCTGTGGAGTTTCACACTCTCTCCCCCAGGCTGAGTGCAGGATGATGATCTTGGCTCCACTGCAACCTCTGCCTCCTGGGTTATCAAGCCGATTCCCTCCCGCCCTCAGCCTCCCAAGTATGCTGGATTACAGGCATGTGCCACCACGCCCAGCTAATTTTGTACTATTAGTAGAGACAGGGTTTTACCGTGTTGGTCAGGCTGGTCTCGAACTCCTGAACTAATGTGATCCACCTGCCTCAGCCTCCCAAAGTGTTGGGATTACAGGCGTGAGCCACCATGCCCAGTCTGGAAATCTTTTTGATTGGCTGTCCCAACTGGGGTGGTGACACTGGCACCTAGTAGGCAGAGTTCAGGGATGCTGCCAAACATCCCTGGATGCACAGGATGGTCCCCCCCACAGAGAACAACCCAGTCTGTATCGCCAGTAGTGCTGGGGTCAACCCTGCAGTTGTGTGTTGTGCTCCAGTGAAGTTCAGGTGCTGGATACTGAGTTAGGATGAGCACCTGAGTTAGGGATGAGTTCATGTGCTGACTGCTGTGACAGCTGCAGGAAGCCACGTCAGCACCCAGCACTTCAGCATTCCATGGGCCCATTTGTAACTAGCGATAATAGGCACCTGCTTTCTCACCTGGGGCTCACAGGGAAGGAAGGCAGTGCGCTACTCATATGGGAGCTCCGGCATTCGGGCGGCACAGTCTCCTTATCAAATATCTCAGTGACCTTAGTCATATTGTTAGTGAAATGGCAATTAGTTTTTCTAACTTTGGAGGGGGTAATAGATTAGGATTTCCACACACAATATACAAAGACATTTAATACTGCCCTGTGGTTGCCTTTGAGGCCATGCTTCTCCACTGGCAGTTCTATTGGTGGTGGAATGATATTTTTTATTTGTTTGTTTTGGTGGTTTGTTTTTTACCGCAAATTCATTGTCTGGGTTTTTCTCTCCTTTCCGGATTGGCCGAGAATATTCAAATCGCTGGACCTCGTTCACCCTGTAAAAACTGTACAGAGACAGACAGATCATTAGACATTTAACCCGGCAAACAGCCAATTTGCTTTTGGACACAGGGTCTGGCCTTAGAATATGTCACTGCCGCCTGCAAAATCTCCCTAACCTTGACCTGAAGCCATCGCCTTGGTGTCCTCTCCCAGTCAGGGAGATGTTGGCAGGTGGAAAAATTAACTTGAGTTTTTGCCTCTTCCCTGTCCCCGCCAACACCTCGAGGGAAAACAGAAGCTGAGTAAGAGTGAAATGAGCAAGAACAGAGGAAAGGTGAAGCGAAGGAGAGAGAAAAAAGGCTTTTGTGTTCAATGTATGTGTTTATTATTATTTTTAAAAAGTATCACATACTTTAGTTTCAGATCTACAAAGTACAGATTTTGCAACCACCGCAAGAGTGACACACAGGAAACGTTAAGTAACCTGCCTCCGTGGCCAGGCTGGGAGACAGGCTATCCGCACGCACAGGGAGGGCGTGGAGAGACCGAGACTGATTCCTCCCCTGCACTGAAATGCAGGCAGGCTTCCACAGCAACAGAAACTACTGCATCTGAGAAGGCTCTAAGCTTCACTATTTGCTTAAGGCCTCTGAAAAAAAAAAGGTTGCAACCCTTAAAATGCATGCCTTGTGAGAGCAGTCATTTGTAAACACACGGGGTCCCTGTTTATTTCCCATTATTGCTGAAGAAAGGTCAAAGAAACGATGAACGGTCAAAGAAACCACCAAACTTCAGGAAGCAAAATGAAGCACATCCTAAGGAATATGAAGTCATCAAAGAGATTAATATTTTCACCAGAACATGGATCAAACAGAACTGAAAAGTCTTAGTATCAAATACATCTGTTAAAGCAGGGCTTTCTATGCCATTGCTAAGTCAGGTGCGATTCAACCGACAGGCAGAAAATCTCATTCAACTATGGACAGTTGACTCAGGGGGCTTAAAAGCCCCCTCATAATCCTACATTATGGAATTGCTGTGCTGTGAGGCTGAAGGGTTCTCCTGTGTGTCACCAGGAGCAAATGTGCAAATCCCATTTCCCACCTTTCGAAATGCAAACATTCAGGCCGCATTCACGTTATGGACTTGGCTTTGCTGGAAATGGGCAAGATGCACTGCTGGGAAGCTCCCTAGGAGACTGTAGCCCGTGGGGCAGGCCTATAAAGGAGACCAGACGGCCTCCACTGCCCGCTTAGGTTTTTGCCGTCAGCTGACTTTGGGAAAGGAATAGGCTTTGCACGTTCCCAGCACACAGATTAACATCTCCTTTCACTTTTTTTGGATGCTGAAAATAATTAGCTTCCCTTGCTCTTCAAAGAGGACAGAAAGAGCATTTGGAAAGCGACTCAAAGGCTACAAATCATCCTTTAAAAGGTGGAATCATTAGGAAGAGATCTGTCCACACAGCCTCTTACAACCCTCATGTTGGGTAAGAAAAATGGGATGATTACCTTACAATCTGCTCTGACACCGGCCTGTGAAACTTAGGAGGCAGATCGAGTTTGGGCTTCACTGTGAAGCACTGAATATCTGAGGTGAGGGGGTTAAGGGTTGCTAAGGCAGCACAGACATCAACCATGAGAGAGGCCCCCCATCACACCCAACCACCCAAATGAACGGCGTCGCCACGGCTTCAGAGTTGATGCGGTTGTCTTAAAGGATACACTGGCCAGGGGAGTTTTTAATATCGTCGCCTGGTGGAGATGTTGTCTTCATTTTCTCGGCGTTTGGAAACTGAGTTAACAGTCGAGCCTCAAAATCTTCCCGGCGCTCATACTCTTTCCCTCGGTAAATGAAAACTTTTCCCTGGAAAGGGTGACATTCATTTAATAACACCACAGAGAAAGGGCCACGAAGAGTTCACATGCAATGTGCTGGTCTTAAAATATGCCTTACGGGTTCTTACAAAATGTCATTGAATTTAAGAACAACTTGTAATTTTTTTTTTTTTTTTTAACTTGCGTTGGCTTTGTTAATCAAGAACACATGGTCATCAAGCATGTAAGTTAATACTGTTTAAGAGGCACTCAACACTGAGCTACTAACATCTGTGCTATGTTTTCATCTTGACAGTAACAACTGATTTAAAAGCTATGTGAAAAACCAAATGAACACTCAGAAGCCTACAATAGAGCGGGCATGAAAGGGTTAGAAGGGGGTAAGGCAGCCAGGGCAAGTGGATAATGATGTCCACGCTTTTTCTGGTTTTTGTTTTCTTTTCAGGTAGGCCCTAATGAAGTCGTTTTCATTCTGTCATAAGAAATTTTTTTTTTTTTCCTTGAGACGGAGTCTCACTCTGTCGCCCAGGCTGGAGTGCAGTGGCCGGATCTCAGCTCACTGCAGCCTCTGCCTCCCGGGTT